CAGCGGCGCAACGGCTAAACTTGTTTTTTCGCAGCGGCGGCTCCCCCAAAATTCTTAAAATTACCAGTAATTTGGTGGCGGCGGCGGCGGCTGATATTATTGAAAAATCGGCTGCTGCGGCGGCTCAGCCGTACGGCTGACACCTCTAGTCACAGAATGCCAATATTTGAATTTCATGTTGCCGAAGAAGATGCGTTCTAGAATATATAGCACTGTTAGGCGAAATAACTTGTTTGATTATTGCTTTACATACTATTAGTTTGGAACTTATGTTATATTGAACTTTTTTGCTGAGCTTGATTTTTCAAATTAAAATAATTTCGATTTATTATCTAAAATGAGAATAAGACAAAAGGAAAATGTTCTCTTATGTGTGAGAGTCCTTTTATCATAGAGATTTTATAAATCCATGAAATAAAAAAATAGAAAAATCTCTAGGAATAGATGATTAAATAGAAATACTCCTCAGTTAGTTGTACGTGTGTTCTTGCTCCTTTTTGGTTTGTTGGTAAATGAGTTTTCACGTAAAATCTCTTTTCGAATACATCGATTGTTTACGTTCCGGTGATAAGTTTCGTGGTTAGTGTTAGTACGGTTTTGAATTCACTATCACAAATCTCATGAATGGCTTTTCTGTAGTCTGCAAATCGTTGTTCATGTATATAATACATGATGATAGAATTGACTGGTTATTTTTACTTGAATCATTTAGCTTTAACGAGTGGATCTGTGTTTTTCGAGTTAAGCTACAAATCATGAACGTTCTTCAATATTTATAATGATTGGTAGGATCTATTTTTTACTCTCTGAAGATGAATGTAAGAAAAGGACACCAGAGCACTGTGTTTCGCCCTAACAAGCAATGTTATGTTGCTTTCGATATCCATATTTTACTTCTGCATATTTATGTTGCATCGTTCTTGTTTTCAATATTCTTCATTCTAACAGATAGATAGACATACATATACCTATTATCAATTAAGAACGCTCAAGAAGAAAGCCCGATGAAAATAAGGAACATATCGTGAAATCATATACAAGTCTAACCAAACTAAATGCACAAGGGACCTTTACATGTGTTCAGGTATTTTTCCGACTGAGCATATATTCATTCGAATTGGACTGATGCAAAAATATTTCGACCACAAGTATTTGCATATGAATCGATGAAAACTTCAATCATCTCATAAGAAAATGTCTGGTATCAAAGGTCATTAATACTCTTCTCCTACAAATGACACTGCCGAAATGTAGATCGCAGAGATTCTGCCGAAGAGCATTTCAACATACTATCATGCCGACGATGTGACTAACGGCAATTTGTAATATCCAGTATGTGAGTGGCAGCAATGAAACTTGAGGGCAGCATCTTGCTAGTGCCAAGATTACTTTTTTGAGGGCGTGGATGTGTGTACACGAGTAAAGTGAAGTCTCATGCTCATATGCACTTACACCTATAACTCCTTTTTATTGCAGCAAAATCAATGCGTATCATGTTAAGTGAAATTGATAATTAAAAAAAAAAGGTAATACTGTTTTTTTTTTGGGTGCACTATGGTAATTGCTACTCTTTGAAAAGTCGTTTTTTTTTCAAAAATTTGGTTCACCAACTATCTCCAATAGACAAATATATTCGTTCAACGCCGATTCGACATGTAAAATTATTTGTTTTGAGGCGACGTGTATTTTGTTGTAACCACTTCGCGGACACATCATAGACATGAGTGAGTTTATACGAAAAAGAGCATGAAAAAGTCTCAAGATATTCGAGACGATCGATCAATTGAATCATAATCTCTTTTGATTCCACAGTCATTGCAAGATGTTTGACGTGTGAAAACAGATGACAAAACAAGTCGATAGAAACCGATTGAACAACACGATATATCGTGAGAGAATAAATATGCCTAGGTAAAATAAGTAAAGGGTCAAATTCCTTTATTGTGAGATGACGCAGACAACCAGCATGGGCGACCAGACTGTGAAATTTGTTTGCAGACAAAAAATCAATACCCGAAATATCCAAGTTTTGTACTCGGTCAAAGTCAACAATCAATTTAAGATTATCGAACGATGGTAAAACAGAACCGACAATAGTTAAAGAGTTCACTTTAGTAAAGCAGTGAACTGAAAGTAGATTCAATTGAACGACGTTGCACAAGAGATGATTAATGTTACTAGTATAGAAAATGAGTTGTTCGATTTCGGCTGGTGCTGTGGATAAGGGTGGATAATTACTTGCGGGAAATTGCACTGAATGTGGTCGAAAGTGAGGCACCGTGTAGATCGACAAATAATTATCATGCTGCCATTTTTGTTTATGGCATGCAACAAACCACCGTTTCTGTTCAAGCCAAAATGGCGAACAAAATAGTTCAAGTAGTGATTTTTCGTCACAGTTACATGTTGTACCTCTTGCAAGGTTCAATCGGAAATTGAACTTTTCGATTCGTGTTCTTGTGACTAATTTTTCCCATCGAGCACCATCCAATAAATTGAGAGTACCGGTTGCTTCGACTATGAGATATATCAATTGGTGCAGTTGAATGATACATCGTTCGAGTGAATCAAACGATATATTGATGTCTACAATTGAAACCTGAAAACACAAGCGTTTTTTAATCGACAAACATTTGTCTACCTTCGGCAAAGCTGAGAGTAAGATGCGTTAGACAGCGAGGGAGTTGTTCAAAATTATCCGGAAGCACATTTTCTTCTTCTTGATTGTTTGTTTCAATGAAGATTGAGAGATGGGTAATGGACGATCCGAGACGTTGAATGAACCAATGAAGATTGGCGAGCGAGCAGTATTTGATGGTCAAATGCGTGAGAGAGTGAAATGAAGCATCTATTGATAGAAATATATCGGATCGACTGACTCTCAAATGAGTCAAACACTTGGCTTGCCGAACGATTGTTTTAGGAATGAGCTTGTTGACGCTAGTGTCACACCTTCTGAAAGAAAGTGATGAGACACTGGATGGTATATTAGACAGAACCGTTGTTGAATCCATCAATACTATCGCTTTCAGACGAGTAAACTCACGCTCGAAGTGTGGGAAATGTTTGGTGAATAGTTTTACTTGATCGGGTATATTTTTTTCGGAAAGAATAAGTAGTATTACCTGTTCAGGATGAATGTGACGACAAATGAAGTCGAATTTCGATCGGGAGACAAATTGAAAGTCAAGTCGAATTGAATATGAGCTGATAACGGCATCCAGCCAATGATTGAGATCAATGAAAGCTCGTAATATGTCAAACGTAGTTAAATAGTCACATATTTCAAATAAGATCTCTGTGGACAACGACTCGAGACATGAATTCATTGTCTAATATGTATTATAAAGTAACAAAATTTCACTAATTCAGGCTTGAGTTTCACCAGTGTCTCGATTGAAAGGTAATTTACGGCGCAGAAATTTTCTATCGTCACTTTATGTCCTTATTTCTCATATAAATAACAGATTGATGAAGAAAAGAAGCAACATTAATATAGAAAAAGAAAACGTGGATGCTTATCAAAGTAATGATATGCCACAACAGCAATCTCTCGAATACAAATAACACTTTTACATGAAACAGTATTCCTGGATTTTGATAAAATTACATATAAAATTCTCATGTTTCTACAATCTCTAAGTGGAGACAACCAGAGATTTCAACAGGGTAAAAATGGAAAAGCAATTCTTTTACCAAAATCGAATCGATCATACAAAATTGTTATCGTCAACAGATATCATTCTATGACGTTAACTTATTTCTATTACATTGAGTGTTGTTTTCCTTTCATGTGCAATGTGTTTTGTCCTACTATCCGGTTGATAGTCATGAGAACATGATGACCTTGTCTTTTACATCGTTCTTTTTTCTTATTATATTTCTGAATTTTCTATTTTCGTGATTGTTAGTGGTTAACAAATCTGAGTCATCTTTTTTCTCTTTTTCTTACTTTAAATTATTATTGTTTTCTCTCTCTCTCTCTCTCTCTCTATATATATATATATATATATGTATGCACTTGTTATTGTAAGAACAGTTGGTATAAACATATAAAATAAACTTTAAGCTCGTGCACGATGAGCTACCAGTGATCTATGTATATTCTTGTATTTTTCTATTGTTCTTCTTTGTGGTTCTTTTTTGTGTTATTCGTTCTTTCTAGGTCATTTTCGTTTTCTCCTTAAAATCGTTTATTTTAAATTCGTCTAATTTTAATCCTTTATTAGATGATTATGACGAAATATCGCGTATGACGTTATACCGAAAGGAAGCACAAAACGAAGTCACGATAGAATGAAAGATCATACATATGATAGTCGATTGAATACGAATAAAGAGAAAAAACCTGACGCCACTAAGGTAATTTTTTGCCTTTCTTTTGTTCTTACGTTTCAAAGAAAATTATGTATAGTTTCGCTATCGTTGAAGACACATCAGCCCATGACTACCCCATGGTTCCACTATTGGCTACCTAGGATGTTCTATTACAGCTCTTCCCATTGATCATTTTACCCCGTCTATCGTCATATCATATAATAATACTTTATTCCCTGCTAATGTTTCTGTTCTCGATGTTTATACCTACCCATATCACAAAGAAGTATACTTGGACTACGGCTGAGATCGAAGTACACAAATTAAAAGGGTTAAAACAATTCATAGAACAGCGACTCTTTCCACCTAGCCTCTTCGCCTCTTAACACCCTCCATGCACATTTCTTAGTACTATTGGTTTTTTAGAGTTAGCAGGGATGACTACTATTATCGCGACTACTTGCTTCATCCATTGATGCCAATCAAAACATTTATTGCAAGACCTTCGCGTAATTCTTCCCCCTCTCCCAGCCATTACAAATCCAACTTTATACATGTATATATATATATATAAAGAAAAAGAAAAGACTGACAACATAAATAACCTCATCAATAAACACACCTTTCATTTTAAAATAAAACCTTTCCCTTCTCATCCTAACCTTCTCAATGCTCTCAATACCATTACCCTCGTCGACTCCTTACCATCATCAGTCTTCCTTCGATGAAACAATGTCGATCCCTATAATATAATACGTCTCACGTGGTCCCTTGTATCCAATCGTGCCTCTTCGTACGACTTATTATTTGAAACACTCCTCGCCATTAGAGAAAATAATTCATTACAGGCACATACTGTCCGCTTAATTTAATTAACACGGACGCTATGCCACTCGACAACAACAACCATGTTCCATCGAACATAACATATCACATCCGCATCGACAATACCCACAAAATAGCATACATAGTCGACTACCAACACGTCGTGCACCATATCGATTAAACTGACGTCCAATTACCAACACAAATTGTCAACAACATCCCGTCGAACATCAATCTACTCCACCAACACTTCTTTCACACATGACCAATTCACCAACAGCGCAGCTCAATTCTCTTATCTCAACCACACACAATTCACAATCACCAGAACTGCCATCGATTTTCAACACTGAAATGATCGAATTATCATAAATGCAACAGCCACCGTCATATGTGTCAAACAAAATGGGGGGGGGGGGGGGGGGGCGACCCCCCCNCCCCCCCCCCCCCCCCCCCCCCCCCCCCCCCCCCCCCCCCCCCCCCCCCCCCCCCCCCCCCCCCCCCCCCCCCCCCCCCCCCCCCCCCCCCCCCCCCCCCCCCCCCCCCCCCCCCCCCCGAGAACCGCGAAATGCTCTCTTTCTCTTGCGCTCTATTCTCTCGCAACGCTTTTATTCATATAAATATCATTTCACGTTTCGTACCCAATCATATGTTCTCACTTGAATGGCATCTTTTAACATTGGAATACGATCAACAATAAATCAGAAAACATCAAAGAAAAAATTCCAGTGACGGTGCTGAATATGCCACTGGTTACTAATAGTCGTTTGTAGACAATGTTTTTTTCGTCGTTTCCATTGAGCGATCTTTTTTATATGATTGCTTTTGTGATCTAAATTGAGAGTGTGGATGTAGATGAGCAGAGCAATCACACCCACACCCAAAAAAAAGAGCTGATTTACAGAGAACACAAAAAAATCCTAAACTTTTTTGATGCACTGTAGATTCAACAAGTGAAAGTAAAACCGATTGATTTTATGCAAACTGGGTGGTCTATCTTTTGAGCCTTTAACTAATTTTTCAAAAACCGGATCTCATGTTTTTATATGATCACTGAAACATCGGCGATAACATTTAGCGTGTGAAACTGTATGAGCCATTAAAGTTGTGTCGAAAGCAAATAAAGCTAATGAATATCATATAACTCTATAAAAAATTGGATACTCTGTTAAATCGCCTTTTAAAATTGTTTTTTGAATTTCTTGTATTTTAAGAGAGAAAAACAGTTCTAAGATTTTGCCGAGACAAAGCCACACACTTTGCACTTGTTCTATAGACGTATTTAAAGCGGAATATAGGAGCAAGTTAGAACCTGGTGCTGTAATGACAACATGTCGAGAAAAAGAGTAAAAGTAAATTTGAAAATCAGTACATTGGAACTGAAGTTATTAAATAATTGCAGAAAAAATGCAAACGGCTCAGCTCGAGTGAGATTAATCATATGACAATACTATGTAGTTTATATTGGGTTTTGCTCTGTCTCTATCAGCCCAATTATACACAACTTCTTTACATGGTTTCTGCGATTTAACCATTTTATTGCCTTGATTTGATACCCTCACTAATAAATTTCTTGTAAAACTGCCTTGCTTGTTTTGAACATAATAAGTTATACGTAATTTAGGCCAGTTCCACGCTTTGTTCCATTGAATAATAAAATCACACGTGAATTCTGAATTCATTATTCGAACTAATTCATATGGAGCTTCAGAAACACGTATAGCACTCTTGGGATATTCGGGATTAATATCAAATGAAACGCTATCAATCATATTTTTCGTTTTACATTTCACATATGCGGTGTATTCGTAGCGTTGACTGGATGATGATGTTGATTTACAAGAATTTCCAAATTGTATTATTACCTGATTTTCATTATTTGAAGAGAAAGGTAGAGAATATAATGATAACTGCGAGGAAGGAACATTAAGTTTCGTAGCACAACCAACAACGGGACATTCGTATGGATTAAGCTTTATTGTCTCACAACAGCATGAATAGCACAATAAATGCCGGCAATCGGGTAATCGTAGTGATTTAGATATATCACTGCTACTAATGTGTCGGTTACATAAATCACATTGCGTTTGGGCTAATTCTGTAGCTAGCCTTTGTGCTTTACTTTCGTCATCTTCAATCCTTTCAGGTTCAATTTTTTCAACGAACAAATCGTCATTCTGAACACTTTGATTTTCATACGCTGATAAAATTGATTCTAATTCTTTCTTTGAATTCTGATAAAGCGGCTCACGATTAAATGATGATAAATATGAGATTATACCGCCTGCTACAGATACACAAGCAGGAAGGGAAGGCAGAGGAATCTTTGACGATGCTGTTAGTTGTAAAGATGAAACATTTTTTGTATTACTGCTTGCGTCATACTGATTAAATAATTGTAATAACTTTAAATGTGCATTATGTTCTAACCAATTTGGCTGTTTTGAACTTGCAAATTCGTAATAATGATTATTTGGAATATACTTCTTAACTAATCTGCCAACACTAACAGGATGCCCATCATCATCTGTATCATACATTAATAATGCAGGCTGTTTTATAGACACAAAACGTTGAGGATCATGTGAAACAGGATTTTGGACAGCTATAAATGATGACATGGCGGGGTTTTCGACCAACGCATTGAATGCAGCAGCTGCTCCTTGAGAAGAACCAATGAGACAATATACTTTATGTGTTGTTGGTGAAATATAATCAATTATTTCTTGAATAAAAGCGCCAGGATAAGAACGAATTGTTTGTTTATTACCATCTGACCGACCATAACCTGGACAATCTATAGCTACAAAATAATAAGGAGATAGCGAGGACGACGATGACGTTGCTAATAGGAGTCTTTTTACAAGATCATTCCAAAACATTGAAGAATTTTCTGGCCCAGAACCATGTATAAGTAATATACATTTCTGTTGTTCATCATACCGATATCCTGCTAATCGAGCGAATATTTTCCCATAAGAAGATGTATGAATATAAACTGTACGACGATAAAAACACTGCACTGGGTCATTATAATCACCGAACATTACGTCACTCGTATCTATATTTTTACAAAGTTTTTGTGCAGGGATTGAAGTGCGCTGCACGCATTTAGCTATCTGAGAATATTTTAAAGTGCTAAGAGTTTCAGAGAGATCTATATTTAATGAACTAATATGAGAGATTAATATTGTGATGGATTGTGTTGTTGATAATGATGATTGAAGTAAACGGGTTAAAGTTGAATCCCTGTAAGGAATATAGGATGAAGATGTTGACAGTGCATCTAATACTCTTCTTAATTGTAATAATTCAGTATTAATATTAATCGCTTCACGAAATCGGTCACCTTCAGCTTTTGAACGTGAAATATCTTCGCTACCGGCTAAATCAATCAAATTTAAACGACCTAAATAAGATGTATATTCTCTGGATAATGATGATGTTGATCGTTCTCTTCTTTCTATCCATATAATTAATAAAGCATGACTTCTTGATGATGATGAATTCATATATGTAAATGCAGTTGCACGTCTTTGATTACCTAGCTTTAATACATTCTCTAATTCTAAACTATTATGTACTGGTATTTCTACTGCATCCATAACATTTATATTGCCCTGGTTGTCTGCACAAATGCTCAGAGAATGCGGCTTGTTGTTACTTTTATTATCATTCTTTCTTACTAGATCATAAACATGACCGTTATATACTTCTAAATAACTCACACGTACTTGATATTGTATGGACGGAGACGATGACGTGAGTTTATGTATAGCAGCAAACAAATATCTACTTGTTCTTGGTATGATCCCCATTAAATTATCAGCTAGGCATAATTTACCATCGGGACCCAACATAGTATATGGAAGCTTGTTCACAAATGTTGACAGCAACGAATAGTAGGGTGTGAGTGGGTGTGGGTGTGATTATTCTACTCATCTACACTAACACCCTGCGCTGAATAGCTTTTTTTGAGACATTTAAATTTCAAATAATCGAATTTTTGTTCAATGAAACATTTTTTTCCTAAAATTTAAAACTCATCGTTTTTTTACCGGTTCCGATTAATCGAAATGGGTGCATGCCTATCTGCAAGTAGAGGTGGGCAAGTCACAGTCATGACCGATGATCTTCTTTGCCTCAGCTGAAAATATGATCGATAACCGATGAAAATGAACTACGATTTGACTGTGACTGACTGATTTTCAATCGTGACTGGTCAATAAGCAATGTGGTTTGATTTTTTAGTTACAAAGGAAAGAAAAAGGTTTACAACAGAAAGGACAGCGATTGAACGGCTTTTATTTCCTATTATCATTCTGTGAATCACCCACACACGTTTCACATATCTTTGTTCACTGGTAGAAGTAAAAAGGCCTATTCAGAGCTGGATAAATCTGCAGGCTTGAACGCGACTAGACCGTGGTCGAAATAACTGGCCATTTTGTTCAGGTTTGTCTGCAAGATTAGTTCGATCATACTAGCGGCAAATAGAAAATGATGTCATCATTTTTAAACAGCTTCCTTTTACCACTATTTGTTTGGCCGTATGCAAATATAGTTGAGTTATAACCATATAATGGTAAATGAAGAAGCGGAATAATTGATTCAAATATATCATATTGAGTTGATTGAGGGGGAAACACATCATCAAATGACAATGGACGTGAATTTGGTAGGGTCAGAATCGTATTATTGCTAGAGTATTCGAATGGAATTATTTCATATGGATCGTTTGAATTGCTGGGTTTAATTCTAATGAAAACTTGAATTGGAGATAAATTATTTAGATCTACTGATGAGGTTGACGAGCATAGTGCATTATATTCACTCATTGAATACTATTTTCGTAGATTAATCACTGCAAAATCGTTGGATTAATGCGCGAATTGCGTAGTAAGTTTTTCAGAAAACCACGACAGCGCTGATAGTATTAAGAGCCTTAGCTGAAACAAACTGGAGAATATTCACGATTTATCAAAATTTATCACGAACGATGAATGGTTAGAGTCAAAAATGTGAACGTATTTGACATCATGTGTGTATAGTTGTGTACTATTGAGTGCAGAAGACACTTTTCTACAATAGAAATAAAAACAAAACAGTAAGCTTACCACAAGTTCATGCGGACAATTTTTCCTTGCATTTTTTTACTATACGTATTCAGTGAAAAGAAAGTGAAGCGAAATGATGACTTTGTCGAACACCATGGTAATTTTTTTTTAATAATCACATGGAATTACAGATGTACAGTGTCTGTGCACATTGAATACGGATGACATCAGTGACAGTACTCACTGGGGCATCGATGGCATCAGTATCTGTCATTACTAAAATACCTACTCATAATCACGCATGCTGATTTACATTCATCATGGTCCATGTAGAGAAGTGTGATCATTTCTCTAAACGTTTCTCATTATGTAACATTTTACAGTAGCCAAATTGACAAAATTCTTGAAAAAAAAAGTAAACATACTCGTTTGATTTTCTTCTGTTGATAGTTTAAAGTGAAAAACAAAGGCTAAACAGCTTGAAAAACCTATCGTAAGCACGTCCCTAGATGCAATCCCTATTAGAGTGTTTTCAAACTTTTGTATGATTTAAAGCCCGAAAAACATCGTTTTACGTTAAACTATCAAATAACCATCAGAAAAATCTATACTGCGCCAGTTTTCCTTTGGAAAATGGACTTTGTAATTCTCTATGTGTGCACATCGGTCCACGATTCGCTGTCTTTTAAAAAAGATAGATGTCACAGCTTTCATTTGCATTTACATATTTGTCTACTTGTTACTTTGGGCATCATTGATATCTATCCAATTTTGAACATAATCGATTCAAGGATATTTGAGAGGATCTGCCCAATGAGAGACTTAAAAAACCACGAGACCTATGAAACTTCGTCTTCTGACTTTTATACTGATGATGGAGATGTGCAGGTTGCGATTGTTTCGCATCCTGCAACTTACCCTACGTAAATATTAGCGTCCTTAACCTATGAAAGATTTTTGAAGACCTAGTGCCTAGAAATCTTCTGCAAATCTCTACAAAAATTGGTTCAAAAGTTTAACACAGCGTTGTGCCTTAGTCAAAAACATACATGTATAGTTAGTTCAATTTATCATGCGGTCTAACTTTGCGTTTTGCGATTCCAATTCCGCCATAAAGTCGACTACCTGACCGACGAGTTTTAAAAAAATGAATTTTCCTGTTTTCAATCTAAAAACTTCAAAAATGCAAATTTTCTGGCATATATTGTTACGCTGATATCAATTGTGACTTTATTTCTAGGGTTTGACCAAATTTCGATGAAGAAAAGTGCAAAAACTAAAACTTTCAGTTCCATTCCATCGCATTATTTTGACTTCTTCGAACCTTTGCGAGACTTTTTGGTCAGGTTTTTGATCTCGTCTTGTAGAGAATTAAAATTTACTACAGAATTAATTCTATGTGTTTCATTTTCTGTCTCATTTGTCGAACATTCTTGATCTCAGAAAGCGCCAAAAAAAAGTGGAAAGAGTGCTATTTTTTTAAAAATATTCCCAAAGAAATTTTTTACATTGAAAATTAATAAAAATCTTACATTTTTATGCAGTTTCATACAAACTAAAAAAACGAATGAGTCAATCACCCTAATGGGCCATATGACTATTCTTTGACTCTCTTTCTGAATGCTTTTTCTTGAGAAAAAAAATATTGTGTGACTTATAATTTCAAACCAAAACAAAAAGCCATATATTTTCTGCCTCTTGATAACAACTATCTCTATATAAACTTTTAACTTTGTCCACCGTACCCTTTAGGCATCGCACCCTTAAGCTTACCTATACATTTTTTACTAACGGTGACTTATCACTTTCGAACTTTGAACGCGTTTGCTACACAAACATAACTTAATATATTTGTGAAAAACGTTTTTTCTTCGTACGTGATGCAAATATTTGAGAAATTGTCAAAAGCTACCGCCAAAATCGTAAAGTTTTTTTAAAAAACGTTTTTTGTTATTGAGGATCGGACTTTAGACCTTGAGTCTCATCGCTCTTCCAAAAAATGGCTGTCCCAGTCAAGCATAATCTTAAAAATCTAGAAGAACAAGCAGAAAAGAAGAAAAGTTTAAAATAAAGGAATCCGCAAGACGAAAAAAGATTATATAAAAGCCGGGAATTATTCTAATAGTTGTCTTCGACGGCGATCTTTTTCTTCTTACAGATTTCTAACCGTATGATAGTTTTCTCCACTGTATTCGAAGGACAAACCCAAGTTTAGTTTCTACTGCAAAAGAGTGTAATCTTCGTTCAGAAAATACAAAAAAAATGGACCACAAATCGAAAAGTCATTTGTTAAAATGATAAAGTTAGAATGTGAAAAGTTGTCGACGAATGATGATTAATGTATGTGATATTTTTGTGACACATTTATTATTATTCATAGAATGACGCATATTTTTTGTTTTTCTGTAACATAGTAACTACATCTTTCACTAAAGTTTTATATGACTTCGATGAGTCATCATGAGCTGTGTCATGTTGAATTTTAATGTATCCCCATGTCGATAGGACACGCTACCGACACATGTGTCGACACAAGTTGTGTGACACAAAAAGATCAGTCACGTTTCGACACTGTGTCCGAGTGTGTCAACACATGCGCGCAATGAGTGTCCTGATGTGTCGACACATGTACGTAATGGGTGTCATAGTGTGTGACACATTTGTTTTTCTTTTATCCTATTGGTTCAATTTTTAGTCACTGAACAGCCGACCAATGAAAATGATCATCAAAGAATTACTTTCGCGTTGCATTCAGGCGTCATCGATGACGTCATTTATTCTCATTTATTTCCATAATGATTGTATTAATACATGAAACAAATAAGCGCGTACAATGATGAGGCTGATGTACAATTAAAATAGCTCATTCTGGTTACACTACTCAGATAAATCTTCAAGTGTATCATCGTCGATATTTTCTTCCTCGGCAAAAACCCTAACATCTGTGCATTTAGATACAGTGAATAAAGCATGGAACTATTAGTAAAAAAAGCTCACCTTCTACGAACATCACCGATGGATCTGCAAGTATAATATCATTCGAAGCAAATACGTTCGCGAGTCGTTTTCTTCGCTCTTCTTGTCGATGGTTGTTGCATAAACGTCCTAGAAAACAATATTCGATAGGAAACATTTTGTCTAATAAGGGAAATATATTATTTTGTTTTCGCACAGACCATCATACTTACTGTAAGTATTTATTTCTTCAATTTTATTTGGAACATTCTGACGCTTTCTCTTCATTGCTGATTTACACAGCGATCTAAAATTGGAAAAATATGATATGAGAAGAATTAAATTTCACAAAACAAATTCTATGCGAATTTAATAATAGAAAAGAAAAAAGTTACCGATAGTAAAATGTATTGTACAACATATAAAACATAAAAATTTAGGCCATCAAAACGAATTGACTAACTGTAACAACGGAAACTTTGAATTTTCACTTTAGCGTTCACACAACGGAAAATTTTGAATTTTTACTAACGTTAACAACGGAAAATTTTGAATTTTCACTAAAACGTTAACGCAAAGAAAAATTTTTGAATTCTATAGACGAAAAGAAAGCTCGTTTTTTTTTCTTTCCTCTTCCTTCCTCCATATTTTACCCATATATNGTAGATGGTTGTTGCATAAATGTCCTAGAAAACAATATTCGATAGGAAACATTTTGTCTAATAAGGGAAATATAATATTTTGTTTTCGCACAGACCATCATACTTACTGTAAGTATTTATTTCTTCAATTTTATTTGGAACATTCTGACGCTTTCTCTTCATTGCTGATTTGCACAGCGATCTAAAATTGGAAAAATATGATATGAGAAGAATTAAATTTCACAAAACAAATTCTATGTGAATTTAATAATAGAAAAGAAAAAAGTTACCCATAGTAAAATGTATTGTACAACATATAAAACATAAAAATTTAGGCCATCGAAACGAATTGACTAACTGTAACAACGGAAACTTTGAATTTTCACTTTAGCGTTCACTTTAGCGTTCACACAACGGAAAATTTTGAATTTTTACTAACGTTAACAAAGAAAAATTTTTGAATTCTATAGACGAAAAGAAAGCTCGTTTTTTTTTCTTTCCTCTTCCTTCCTCCATATTTTACCCATATATATCGTCCATAGAAAAACGACACTACTGACACATGTGTCGACACACTCCGTACAGAAAATTCTGTGTTATCATGTGTCAAAACACGTACGGTCACTGTGTCATTGTATCGACACATGTGTCGGTAGCGTGTCCTATCGACATGGGATCTGTTAGTGACATAAGATATCGCTCTATGCCACTAACTTCTTTTCATTTCGTGATTTTTTCTTTTGTTGATTTGTCTATCTGAATTGTCCAGTTGATTGATCATCATGACACGCTGATGACCTTTTCATGTTTTTTTGACCGACGTTTCCCCTTATATTGCGTCATTTGATTTTCTCATATATATACTTATGAGATGTTGTTTTGTTTTCTGCTTTTCCTTGTTTTTGCTTTTCGGTCTATTGTTTCGTTTTGGTTATCATCTCCTGTTGTGTTTACATTATTACCGTCTGTAATAAAGAACCGCTGGTGAATCTCAAAAACCTTACGGTAGGCAATTTTTTATGCGATCAATCTCCTGCTGTAGCAGATTCAACGCCCGAATTATTGATTATAAAAAAATGATAGAAGGAGACCTCGCAGTTTCGCTACGAAATTTCGCTGAATCATCTATACATCGCTCAGTCACACAAATTCAGTGTTTCTCTCTGCTCTCTGTAATGGAGTAGAAGTAAAAGCATGGTCGGTTTTGCATAGAGACGTTGATACGTTGAAGAATATGTTCTAAATTTTGGAAAGGGTGTGGATGTGAGTGTGCGGGTGTTAAGCACTCAATATTTGATACATTCAAAGCAATATCTCCGACGTTTCGATCTTGCTTAAGGTTCTCACCAGACATCTGTAGAATCCAAAAACTACAGGGTATGAACAATAACAAAATCAAAAGAAGAGCCAACATTTATTGATTGAATTAATTTAATATAAAGGTCAAAAGAGACAGTCAACAATAAATTAAATTAAAGAACGATTGGGGTACAAATTATTGACTTAAGGTTTATTACTGCTCGTATCGTAGTATGATTAAAATGGATATGTTCAACACTCAATTATTTGATAAACTCAAAGCATATTACCACTTTGGGAAAGATAACCTAATTGAAGTCTATTCAATGATACTTTAGGAACGTCGACAATGATTTGTGGATAAACATCTACTATCTCTTGTATCGATAATAAATAACGGGTGTTGGTGAAGATGAGGGTGACATGACTGCTTTGGTCAATTTTAGATGAGGTCTGAGCCAAAGTTGAAGAAACAAGAAAGAAAATTGAGTAAAACTAAAATCTCATTCAACTATTCATCCACGCCATCATTGAGATCCGTTTAGCTAGTACCCAGGTGCACCATCACAGATCCCACACACTCATGGACGATCAGGATCATTTTTTTTTGTTTGTTGCAAGATCTTCAAGTTTTATGATTTAGAATAAGTTACCCTAATTATAACACTAAGTGTTAGCGTCAGTAGATGACACTCACTGACGCTAAACGTTTATTCGTGTTATCTGTTGCTATGATCTCTATTTTGATTTGTTACGTAATATTTCGACTATGACTAATCCTCGTGATTGATNCGCTAAACGTTTATTCGTGTTATCTGTTGTTATGATCTCTATTTTGATTTGTTACGTAATATTTTCGACTATGACTAATCCTCGTGATTGATTTTCGTTCGCTATTGCGCAGTTGTTGATGTTTTTTCGTATCAATCACTCGATACTCAATATATTATATATATGACACGACGACAAAGTCGATTATTAAAACATGTTTAGCTCTCTATTTTTGGCAGACTAAATATTAGTTCTACCATTGCTACATAATCCCCAAACCAGAGCTAACACTAAGCTATTTTTATCCCTAACAACAACACTCAACTAGCTGAGTTGATTATGATTCCTATACAACGATTATAAAAAGATATGCTATTTATGAATAAATTCTCTGATATTATTTTCATAGTGATCCATCGTTATTATACTCAAAAAATAGATGGGTGTTGTTATTAGGATCAACAAATAGCCTGACATCATGATAAAAGTCAAAAACCAGTTGAGTGTTGTTATTCAGGAAAAAATTTATTTTTCGATTTTTAGACGTTCTTGTTTGAGAAAATTTGTTTTACCCAAACTAACATTGAGTTCTCATGAACCTTTGGTCAATGAGAAAGTTCGACACGCTCTACAAAATTACTAGAGACACCTTTCCTGTATCTCTCACAGGAAATGTGAAAAAAATAGATTTGCTTGAGTTTTGTTACAGTGCTGTTGTTAAGGTCAAAAATTAACTGACTGTTGTTACTAGGGAAATGAAATCTAACAACAACAGATGCAAATCCTTATCGTAGACCGCTGGTTTTTCGGCCACTACAGCTCAGTTAAAGGTGGTTGTTTCACCGTTCGAAAGAGGACACTCCAAAGCTTATGCGCATGTAAGAATAATTTTAATCGGACGTAAAATAGCTGTACGCCGAATCAATCAAGCCATGCCATTTTCTTAGTGTTGTTATTAGGGTAACTTACTTTAAATAAAAATATGCTAAATTTGCGGGGTCGAAATTGGAATTCCTATTTTGCCTAAGAAAATTTAGAATTTGTCGGCACTTTAATTTCGCCTACAACACACACATATATAACTAAAGCTACAGCCTTAGCTAGCGATATGGTTATGATTAACCTATGTCAAAAAATCTTCGTACAAAATTCGTTTCATTCTTCTTCTTCAACATGAAGGTTTTATTTTTTATTTCTTACATCAAATGAAAGAACATATATAAGTGTTCATGATATTAAGAAGAACAAGCTTCATACGGCCCATGATCAGTAAGTTTTCGTCGTTGTTTACTTTTACCTGAAAACATGCTCTGGACAATTTCTATATCAATTTCTTTGAATGTTTCGCAGTTCGTCTCTGCAATTGATCGATTGCCTCAGGTGCCCAGCCTTTATAATATACTATATCCGTCAGTATTGACCAAAACGTTTTGAACGGACGTGATTAAGGGCAATTTTGAAGATGCAATTCTTTATGTACGAATTGCACGCCGTTTTGATTCAAGTACTGCACGACATTGTGACCATAATGACTTGAAGCTAAATCAGGCCAAAACAATACTTTTTCTTTTTTTATGATGGCTTGCAATAAATGGCATTAAGCGTGCCACAATACATTTATCTAAATAAGTTGTTTAATTAACAGCTTGCTTTTGTTTTGAAAAAAGACGGTTTCGAAATTCCATTTTCAGATATTGCAACCCAAACTAATATTTTCGGTTCAAAAATCTGGGTTCTTTTAAATTTTATTTGTGCTGGCGTAGTATGTTTATCAGAAGTGTAAAATCCACGATTAGTTGGTACAGATTGATCTTATAATAAAAAATAATTTTCGCCATTCATTACGAAGTCAAAATCGTTGTTTGACAAGATGCGATATAATCGACGTGCACGAGTTGAGACTTCTTCGAGCCGTTGATCCGTATATTTTGATGTTCGTTTTTTTTATAATAGCGGATACCCATTACCTTCAAATGATTAGAGATTGTTTGATAACTAACTTTAAATTGTGGCGTTAATCAGCTCAAAGAAATTCCTGTTTTTTTTTATTAACAAGACGTTTGAGTCTTGCTAATTTTCCACGGGGCAGTTTCATTGGATGACCAAATCTTCGTTTGTCACCAACATAGCCTGAATCTTCGTACTTGTTAAGGATGCTATACATGGTTTGACGAGGAGCTTTTTCTTGTAAAAAATGTTTTACTGTAATTTATTTTTGTTTGCTTCTTTGCTATGTTGCTGTAATATTGTACAATCCGTTTTTGCAGGTGTTCTCGATCGATACGTGTAATTTAGATGAAAACAACGTACTTGATAATATATTTTACACCCAATGAACACTCTATCAATGCTCTATGAGTTGGTGTGCAAGAGGGATAAAAATAACCTGTGAAGCACGAGCAGTATGTATGAGTAGTTTGTACCAAGACTTTCTTGACATAGGTTAGCCTTGCTTTGTTTTTGCCGTTTATATTCGAACTCAAATCAAGCAGCCACTCGGACGAAGTCACGACGGTTAAACATTTTTTACTATTTACATTTACATTACGTTTATCTTATAAGATAAATCAGAGAAAATCTTATCTTTATTTTTTAAATGCAAAGATTTTATTTATCTTTATTTTATCAATATAACGACTATATTTATGGCCATTTCATTTATCTTTTTTTCTCAACTACCAACACTTGATTTCTATTTATTCCTTAATGTGGACGTATAGCTATAAAGATAACGTAATGCTCTTATTCGAAAATGAAAATTCTGTGTGGGATCACCGAACTTCTCCAGTATTGGCGAAAGTCATGTGGACATCCGCCAATTGGCAGGAGTCCAGGACGTATATTGGCGAAAGTCATATTGGCGAGCTTCGGGCTACTCTTCTGTGCGAATGACTACCAAATTTTACTTCAACGAATATTTTCATTCAATACACCAAACATTTTTCTTCTCTTTCGTCAACAAATGCTTTTCGCATTCTTTTCTTTCTTCGCCCTGATTTTCATTTTATTTTCTCCTGTACTTCGAGACATATTAACACTATCCAATTCTTTATCGCTGAAATCTAATAACTACGAAAAAAAAATATCATTAAAAATTCAAACCTGACTCTCTTTTTCATCTACACAAAGTGCATATCAGTCTCAACTCTATCCTAAATCTTTTAAATATAAATTCATGAATGAGAATCATATCTTGAATCTACTGAGACTCCCATAAACAAATCATTTGAACTTTTTGGTGACTGAAAACATTTCATCATAGGAAAAACTCCTGTTTTACCTTTATAAACCTACTTGCACCGTACACTTGCGTTCGTTCTCATAATTTCGGAGCATCTTTTTTCTTCCTGTCGTATTCATATGAGTTTTTGCACTATTCGTACTGCATGTTAACTGACTTTCCTTTTTTCTTTATTTTTCCGGTGCGCTTGAAGAATCACGTCTTTTTCTCAACGAGGCAAATCGTATATATTCTTCGAAAATAAATTTCTTTGATTTCCAGTGATTTCCAGTGATTTCTATGACTGAAAATCAGTTTTTATATGATCATTGCAAACCAGCAGAAAATCATTGGAAACGTTCAAAAATGCTGAAAAATTATGAGAAATCAATAGAAATTAACAGTGGTCACTGAAAACTGCACATTCTGGAAAAAAAGGAAATTAGTAAAAATCATCAGTAATCAATAGAAATCAATATTTTTTTCACTATATAGTTCGAGAATTTCTGTGATTTACATTTATTTACATTTGTTTCTTGTAATTTCTAACAACTGAGTCATTATTGACATCTTGAATGTGTGATATTTCTAGTGATTTTTATGTCTGGAAATCAGTTTGTTCCCCCTTGGAATTAGTTCTATAATTCATCTACCTTCTGTGAAGAGGACGATTTGACTCTTTCAATCATAGAGAATTGTTGGGTTTTATCAGCGAATTTTCCATGATGTTTATCCTCCATCTCGTTATCTTTTGACCGATTAGTGACAGTTTTGTATTGGTCATGTTCTATGTTGTTTCTGTTTCAGGAAACAAATTCGATGGCTGAATTTGCTTGGTTTGACAAGAAAGATAAACCAATATTCGATAGCTATTCGGGTATCAGTACCTGTCTGGCATTATCATACGCCGTTTATGCTTCGGATGCCAAAGCCTGTATTTCTACCTTAAATGAATTGAAAGATTCCATGCAACATGGGATCGATCAAATATTATTCTCCACCAATTGCAAGCGTCAATATTTAATCGCATCCAAGCCAAAAGAAAAAGAGATATATGTTGCATTTCGTGGAACAGAAAGTTGGAAAGCACTCTTGAGCAGTTTTCAAGTTTATGTTCATTTGAATGATTTCAAAGGTACATTTCATGCTGGCTATTATCAGCAAGCTAAATTAATACCATTAGCTCCATTTTGCTATTTGTTGAACAAACATCAAGATTATAAATTAATATTTACTGGACATTCATTCGGTGGTGCCTTAGCTGCTATGGTTACAATGAATATGTTGGGCGATTTGAGAACAATAAACTTTCAAGATCGAATACATTGCGTTGCTTTCGGCTCACCATTTATTAGTAACAAAGCTTGCAGTCAGTATATTAACGATCGTCTTAAACACAATTTCCAATTTTATATCAATCATTCTGATATAATACCCTATCTATTAACATATGTCTACAATAAAAGTGGCGAGTTCTTGTCAAAAGAAATAAAGAAGAAATGCAACGAGTGGTTAGTGGTTTTAGCATTGTCACTTATTGGTGGAGGAATCGAAATAGGACTTTTTTCTCGATTAGCTCGACGTCGTGGTGGGAAACGATGGACAACACAAGCTGAGTGCGAAAGTGCATGTTTAGGATTGAGCAAATACCTCATCGAAACTTGCCGTGATCACTTGAAAGAAGTTCTACCTGAATATTTTCCATTTGGTTTCTATTATTCCACGGCATGCACTAGTCCTGATGGTGGAACAGACAAGAGTTTTTTTCTCAAAGCATTACCATTGGAAGAAGTATGCATGAAAGAAAACCGATGGAGTAGCTCAGAAGGGTATGCAATGCAAGATCACTACATCAATAATTATGTTACGGAAATTTATAAGAATGTTATTCAGAAAAATTCTATGGTAGCCTACCGTGAACACTCGCCAGTGAGATTAGTCGATAATTGCTATGAATTTTCTACTTCTCCGCTATTTATTTTCGTGGTACCAAAAACAGAAACTTGGAAATGGAAGAATACATGCAATGAAAACGAAGACGAAAAGCCAACTCATTATATGTGGTCTGTTGTTAGTAGCAAATATGAAGATAAGGAAGAAATAACACTACGTATTTATGGACCCAGTGTTAGTTTGACAACTGGCCTCAAGTGTGAAAATTCGGTTTACACGGGAAAAGCCCTCGAACCAGAAGAAAATGGTGATGAGTCCGTACGACTTTTCATTCTTAATCTTCCACTCAAAGAAAATCCTGATGCAAATGATTATCCAATTCGCATTATCAACCATTTTGCTACTGTCGATTTGACTGGTTTGATCGAGCCGAAAAAGTTTACTCTATCAGCTGGTTTGGTAGGAAGAAAAAGGCAAATTGCTGATTTAACCGTTTTGGAATTGTATAAACTAGCATTTGCCTACTGTACTTTTACTGGAGATAATGGCAGCATTCATAGTGAAAGTCAGGACGTTAATCGAAGGGAATGTGTCAAAAAGTATCTATTATTGTCAGAAAAAATTCTCGAGCAAAATTGTATGATTTTGGAAAAAGATCATCTCAAACGTCTTACACCTGAGCAATTACGAGAATTGAGTAAAGAAATTTCTTATGCCAAAAATGATGGACAAACCTCTCGTACATCGCCAACAGTTTCACCATATGCGTCTGATGACGAACTAGACCAGATATCTGGATGCTTTGGGTTCCGATACCAATCCAAAGCCCAAAGAAACGATACTTCTACAGAAAAAGCACAGTTCCAGAATATAAGCACTGTTATGAAAAATTGGTTTGAAAATAAGTCAAATCGACAGTGCCAAGCATCTGAGACAATAGATTCTCGAAATTTTGTCCTCAGCAGTACTGAAGCAGTTGTTCAGGTTATACCACGCTTATTTTGTATGAATATAGCGCTGACACGTGATTTTGAACTTCAATTTGATGTTCGTGAGATTCGATGGAAACTAATCGGTGTTGCCACGATCGGTGGTTGTGTTCTTGGATTAGGCGGTGGCATCGCTATTATTAGCACCTTGGTAGGTGGCCTATTAGGTGCCTTTAGTGTAGGTGCAGTTTTTGGTGGATCGGTGGGATTATACGAATGCTTAAAAGCGGTTCAAGTTGAATATTTAAAAATCCTCGTTTTTATTGCAAAATCCTTGGGTGTCTGTATGGAGGAAGTGAGAATGCATCAATATTCATTAGAAGAAAAAATTAGTTCGATCTATGCAAAAAGATTAAAAGCGTTGCCTAGTGACGAACATATGTATGATCAATAGACAAGAATATTTCCAGGAGGTATTCTAAATAAATTAAAAAATCGAGAAAAGCAGAATCATTGTCTATCAATTATTAAATGTATTGATGCGAATTTTCAAATGCGAACATTATTATCACAAGATTTTGCTCTTGGAGTTATCGGTCCAGGTAAAAGTGGTAAATCGACTCTGGTAAGAGAGCTATTTGGTTTTGATACTAATCAAGATAAGGAAAAACGAACTGAAGATCTTCATAGTTATCGAGTGAACGATGACTTTCGCGTGGTCGATTTCCCTCATATGACTGCGGTATTCGATTCTGTAAGAAATTGTTTCACTTGTAATCATGCTCTTGTTAATGCTGTGGTCGTTGTCTTAAATGCTGAACAAGGTGGTAATGATAAAGATGGTGAAGGATATGTGATAGCAAAAGTGAAAGAATTGGCTAAAAAGGGTGTCCATGTTCTTTACTGTTTCAATCAATGTGATAAACTAGCTCTCAAACATAAACCTGTGCGGAATCAGCGAAATATCGACAAATTCGGTTTGTATGAGAGTGGCAAGATAGAACAAATGAATGCAGTGAATGATAGTAATTCATTAGAATATTGGACAGAAGAACATGTGGAAGCAAAGAGAATACAATGGGCAACGAATTACCAGCTCGATTTAGAAAAATGTTGGATGACATTTTGTGACCTTGAAGAAACAGACCACCATAAATCTATGAAAAATTATAGAAGGCTACGACAAATAAAACTCCGCACTCATTCGGATATTAAGACTGAATGGTTAAGAGAGGTATTGGGACAGAATAGTGTATCGGAAAGAAGTATTGGCGAAATCATGCATTTTCGATACGAAGAAGAATAGTTATAATTCAACTGTCTGCGTGCAGGAATTGCTTGGTAATGTTCACTTGTTTATCAATGTAATATCTGACTTTAGTATGTCTATTTAGTGTTTTTTTGTTTTCTAATCCATTATCTTATTTATTCCCGAAAATTCCTTGATGTAGCTTTTCTGTTAACATTATCTACTAACTTCCCTGATTTAAAAATTCCTATCTACAGAGATGTCATAAATAGAGAAATAAATATTTTTGTGCGATAGTGTGGGCGTGTTAGTGTTTACCCATATACCCATACCTACACCCTCGTGCAGTGGTTCGCGTCGAGTCAAATGGAAGAAGGGACTTTGATTTGTTATTATGAACTCAAATTTAACTACATAATAAAAACACAAATAATAAAGGAGAATTTTAATTTGATGACACATTCTTTATTTGCAGCTAGGTTTTCGTGCTAAACTAATACACTTTCACGATTTGATTTGCCTGTACGGCAGTGTCCATATTTTGTCTTAACTGGTTGGATTCTCTTAAACGGGGTATGGGTGAAAAGTGTTTATATTCTGCATTCATGCCCATACTAACACCATTAAGTATATATGAAGAAATCCGACAAAATCAATGGGCATTTCTAGATATGATTTTGAGCAAAAATCTTTTTTTCTTTCAATTAAATAATCATCATATAAAAAAATTGCGCACTAGAACAGAAAAAGAAATCATCGCTAGAATTATATTAAATAAATTTTTGTTTGTTTTTCTTCATTCATCGGCTCGATTTCCACGATTAAATATTTTAAATACATTTTTTAATGGATTATCATCATATTCTTGTATTTTTTCTCTTGCTTGTCGAATCCTTGTTGAATTGGCTTCGCTTAATTGACATTTTGCTTCAATAAAATGCAAAGCTTCCATGGATTTTAATTTTATTGCAGAATTAATTGCTTCATCAGCCATCCTTTTCAGTAAAGTAAAGAAATTAACGTATGAATTTAGACGACAACAAAATACACATACTGAACTTTGGCAAACATAAAAGGAAGACGTTCTTCATCAAGTTTTGATGAATAAATAGATCGATCAAGAAAACGACGAGCTTCATCAAGACGTTGAGATCGAATACAGACATCAATAAATGGCTACAGAATATAAATATAGATTCTAATGTTTATTTAATAGCTATACCTCATATCCAATGGGTGATGCTGGTTTTTTACCAAACTCAAGTAGCTGTGCCCAGGCATTTTTTTTCGCATAGGCTTGAATTTTAATCCACCAATATCTTTTATCATTAAGATTAAAGTCTTTTCTTAACGTATCTGCATCTTTTTCGTAATTAATTAAAATTGCTTCAAGTGTATCAACTAAAGATAAACCTTTTAATTGAACGTTGTATAATTTTTTTTCTAATTCATCTTGTTTAATTATTAATCGAGTTTCTTCATCAATTAGCTTTCAGAATAGAAAATTAATTTCGATTTTGAGGAAAAAAATGTAATCTACCTGAGCAACTGTATCATTTTTAGCTTCACGAAATAATTTCGATGCACTGTTTAATTCAACTTTTTGATCTGGTATTGTCTATAAAAATAAAGAAAATTCAAATCTGAGATCGACTATGATCACTTACGAGGGCAGTTGTAAATCGTTGAATGATATGTGAATAGGCAATACGTTCTCGTTCGTCAGGATTCTTTTTGATTAGTTCAGCATGGAAATTGTTTCGTTCAAGTTCTTCCAAACACTATAAAAAGATGGAATCATCGACTTGGATAACGAGAATAAAGGTTCTCATGTTTTAGAAATACCGATCGAGAGTATCATATTAATTCTCCTAAGCAAAATTAAAATCCGTGGCCTTCGAGAAGATATTACTAATACCGAAAAAATGGACTTGTATTAGAAATTTTTTGAGTCTTACTTGTAAATGTAATTTTAATGGTAATGATTTCACCCGTTGTAATCGAAGCATATAATCACTCAAGGATTCACTTGATTTAATACGCATAAGAACAAACAGAGCTAAAGAAAAATATTCATCAAAAATAAATAGAATAAACAAAAATAATCGCCTACCTAAATCAGTATCACCACTTGAAAGTGCTTTTGTCAAGGCTTCTTCTTTATCGTTTAACATTAATAACATATCAATTTGATCTCTTAAACTAACTTTAACATCAAGTAACTAAATGAATTATTTTTATTATTTCATCAAAAAAGAACTTATAATCGAACTATTTTATCTTACTTTTCTAACAACAATAAATTTTTTTAATTTAAATGCTTCTCTAACAATATCAATAAATGGTATACCAGGTACATTTGCGAGATGTTTTTTGATTGCATTTGCAATCGCTTCCTCATTTGTATTCGAAGGATTGACAAGCTAAAACAAAGCAAAACAAAACTATTGACACGATGTTTCGATAGAAAGAGCGAAGTCTCTAGGGCAATAATAATATGGAGAAAAAGTATGGGACTCTCCGAAAACATTTCAAATAAAATTCTTTTTGTATGCTTTGGAACTAGACACTTTACTTGTTCTAACAAAAAAAGAATGGAGTCTTTCCGACATTCCATTGTAACGCAACACTGCTAAAACTAACCTGTTGAACTGCCCATTGCACTAAAATACGATTTTCCCCTTCTTCGGCAGGCATACGTAATAATTTTGTTACACTCGTAGCAAATTCATGTAAATTACGACGAAGTAAACGATCAATCAGAATACTTGTACCAATCAATTCAAATCTATATGAAGAAAAAGAATTAATTAATTAATTAAAAATCAATGATAATTAAATGCGTAACTGTTTAAATGTAAGTGGCATAGAAATATTAATATGATGTAGATTATTAATTAAACGTAAATCACGAATTACATTTGTACACAAGTCATTGATCACTTGGACAGTTGGACGAATTGAACCTCTTGGGTTATTTAAATTAACGCAGAGGAATGAACGACCGAATAGTGCAGCCTAGAAGTTGAAGTAAAAACAAGAAAAATTCTTTTGTGTCGTTATTTTACTTTCAGTAAAAGTTTTTGAATAGATGGATCATTCTCATGGGACGCTGCTGCAATACATTGTTTAACAGCCTCTTCAAGTCCATTTGTTGTTCCAGATGATTTCAATTCATTAAGTAACATTTCAGCCATTTGATTTTCATACTATCCAAAAATCGAACATAGTCAATATTGCATTAAACACATCAAATAAATTTTACTTTATAATCCATATAAGCCGAAAAAAGTTTTGCACCTGGACTAGTCGATAGAATAGCAAAAATATTAAATATTTCCTGTGGTAAACGTTGAAAAAAATCAAGTGTTCGACCAGATACGATTCGAATACCATCGATCTCTGTCGACAGCCATACCGGTGAAGTATAACAAAGACTAGAATTGGAGAGAAAAAAAGATATTTGGAGTTATCTATATGTCCGTATCACTTTCAATAATTCTTGTGATAAGCAGAAAGAAACTAGAAAGTCACTCGATAAATTCAAAAAATATTCTAATACTAACGTATCATGGCTTATTGCTTCTCGACTTTTTTCTCTAGAATAATAAAAATAAAATAAAATAAAATACGAATAAAAAAAAAGAATGTTACGAACGTCATCGGCTGTAAATTTTTTCCATCAATAATAAGTAAATCATACCAAGCTTTTGAACTCGATCGAATACCAATAATAGTATCCGAAGCACACCTTTAAATAAATTTTACTTTCAACGATCGACACTTCCAAGGAAATTCTATCTTACCAAGCAATATCCGTAATTTTATTTTTATCATTACTATTTACATATTTTACTGTAAATGCTTGTGCTTGTCCGATATTATCCTTTAATCCAACTAATACGTCACCATTATCTTTTAACATTCCAACATATTTATAATCACTACTCGATACTAATTTAACAATCGTATCCGTAATACCGGGAATAGCTTGCTAGTAAAAGTATCAAACAAATGAAAAGCAAAATCTGCAATAGATATAAACTCTTTTACATACTGGCTCTCGTCGTGATGCTGAAGCACTACATGTTACTATATAATTATCATAGGCATAAGCCAATGTGATATCCGCATGATCAAGTACACACCATGCCGATACTACTGAACGAGTATCTACATCTATAAAAGAATAAAATTATATTTTAAAATAAAATTTTCTGAGAAATTTTCTTACTGAGTGCTATGGTTTGAATAATCGGACTATAGACATTTTTTACTAAGACAAAGCCTTCTTGGTTTTTTCTCAATGCTACAACTCCAGTTCCTTGATTTGTTTTGAACGTACATGCACTACTTATTGTTGATACAGACTAGAAAACAAGCCGCAAATAAAATTCTATTCTTGAATGCTGACATAAACAGATGAAATGATTTTTTCATGCTGAAACAATTACCTCACTAAGTGTTATCGTTTTATCATTGCTTGTATTATAATGAAATATATCAATAATATGATATTTACCATCTTCAGTTACCAATAATAAATCTTCGTTAATCGTCCAATCAACAAATACAACTACACCTCGACCAAACTTAAAATGCATACATTGATAAATAATGATCGAAAATAAAAACTATTTTCTAACTTCTTTAAATTTATCATTATGTTTTGGTAAATTTTGTATAGCAATGGTATATTTAGTAGTATCGTTGGGTCCTATTCCCGATGTTTTATATACAAAAGCTATTTAAATATTTAATAGAATGTGTTCTCGTGATCAGATCAATGAAAAGCTAATTAGTTACCAATAGGTCCTCCGCATGGAGCCATAGCAACAAAATGTTTCCTGGTGGCATCCGTTGGGCTGCTAGGATCTCGAAATCGAATTGAATAATCAGTGATTGGAGATGTTTCTGTTTTCCTACAAAAACAAAACAGAAAACCAATATCCTTTTCAATTCTCAGCTGAATCGAAAAATGGCAAAAACTCTTTTCGTACTTATATGTAATTTCATCAAAAATACGCCACGAAGTGGTCGCATTTGCCATTTGTTCATTCATCTAGAAATATACAATACATACAAGACAACAACATCAAACAATGACTAGAATCTAAAAGGAATTATTTTTTCCAATTTTTATCGTTTTTGTGATTTCGCTGATTCTTTTGTTTGTTGTTCAGCTATTTTAATAAACAAAACGGGATCATTTTTCCATTCAGTAAGTAATGTTGGACGATGTGGTTCATCGACATCTTCTAAATGTGTTATATAATAATCGATTTCAGCGAGTATATCACTTAGACTTCGCGAATTCATTGGATACGTCAGCCAACGTTGAAGTATGGGTAAACATGACACCGTACCTGATTCGTCAACAATTGGACTATAAATTTGCGTACGAAATTTTACTCGAGGTGTTGTTGATGGATAATCAAGTGGCAAACTTATTTCTAATTCGAATTCTCCACCAATATAAGGAGCCTGTTGTGGTGTATAGACAAACACTGGATGAGTTAAATCAGAGTCATGAATCGCATCACATGTTGATGCATCAATTTTTTTCTTTATACGAAAAAGATGACTGGTTTGAAATGATTCATCAATAAGCGCAAGATCTTTTAACAAATGTATATGTTTGGAGACCATCTAAAAGACAAAGATTAGCGTTACTGTAGTAGAACTAACTTGAGAACATGCTCGATTAAACATATATATTTATCGAACGGATAATGTGAAACTGTACAACGTCGAATTACAAAATATTGATATCTCAAATTTTCTAGGATATATTCATGTCGTTTGAAGTTTACGAATTATTAACTAAACAAGACAACATCACATTATTCTTATTTTTTATTCAAGAGCAGTAAAAATAGAGTACTGATGTCTGATTCGCATAGAGGGAAGAAAAACGAAAGCACACGCCGACACAACAAAACATTAAATTTCTTTTTCACAGATAAGCATTTAATTAGAATTATTTGTAAGAAATGATTAAAAAAAAGAAGAAATCAAGTCTATAATAGTTCAAAATATCTAAATTTATGTTTTTGGTAAACCATGTTTTTTAACCAGTTCGGTTGCTTTACGATCGAATGTTGATCTATTGTTGATGTATTCAGCAGCAATATCTTGAAAAAAATGAATTTAAAAATGAATTTGTAATACAAACTAAATTTACCTGCGTTAAGGGCATGGTCAACATCTGGATTATCAATACGGTCAACGACATCTTTGACAATATCGGTTAATGGTGTTACTGGTTTGAATCCTTCGGGTGAATTAAGTTTTTCCAGACATATTCTACCTTCTTCATTCACATTCGGATGATAAATGGGCGTAATAAAACGAATTTCAGGGGCTTTAAATGGATATTCATTTGGTAATTTTAATTCTATTTGAAATGCAGCCTGATTATAGATTGCTGATCGAGGTAATATTCTTCCAAGAATTATATTTGATCCTGGAGTGTCCATAGGTGATTTATCAAGAAGAAATTTAAGACCTGCTGGATCATTATTTGAAGCTAAGGCTTGTAATCGTGACACTTCAGTCATAATACGTTTATTACCTCCTGGGCCCGCCATTTTTTCTTTCTTATTCTAAATAAATTTTAAAAAAAAGTAATGCTTGATTAAAACATCGTTCAATAAAAAGTACGAAGAGGTATTTTCAAAAAGATGAAATCAAAAAACAAACTTATTTTTTTCCTAGACAAAACAGATTTCAACTAATGGAGATATGCGAAAAAAACTGCGGAATTTATGTAGAGGGGAGAAAAATAAAAAATTGTTATTTTGTTGGATTTTTCACTAAAAAAACAACGGATTGTGCAAGTAACGAATGGTGACCATGAGTCATAAACCAAGGAATTAACCAGTGAAGGCTTCAATAAAAAATGTCGCCACATTCGTCGCTATTTTTTAAAATTTCTACTACATTGCAGAGAGTCGTTTTTCGTAGAAAAAATAAAGGTGATACCATAAATATTTTCGTCATTATTTTCGTTCCGTTCTTTAGTATCTATATCGAACAAATAAATGCTTTGAGCTTTTATATTACCTAAATTAATGTAACTATTATTTTTGGTAGAAAACATGATGTATCTCAAAGCAATCGTTACAGTAGAATCTGGAAAAAACCAATCGAGTTTTTTCCGACAGCTCATGATTTATAATGAGATGTTTACTCTGATAAAATTTCAACTTGTTCCCATCATATTACTCATATGAAACGTGATTAGTTAGATGAGTAATAGAACTACACTCATGATCGGTATTACTATTGATTGTTTGTTGATGTAGAAAAAATGGCGGCGAGAGCGCATCATGTATGTTTTCAATTTTGCAAAGAACTATCGGGAGGATTTTTTCTTTTTCTTTTTTATTACTTGAATATGCATCTCTTTCTATTGTAAAGCACCAAGACAAATACGAATATTATAAAATCTAAAAACAACACGACAATCAACGCTAGAATTTTACATTTTTCGCTTGTCTATGTTTTTTCTTATTACAAGCATAATTTTATTCATATTATTGACTGTTAGAACTTGAATTATTGTCTTATTTATGTGAACAAAAATAACAATATGTATATGATGAATGAATTTTTGCGCTAGTTTCGTGGTAATGCAAACTGTTTGACCATTTCCAGTGCCTTACGATTGAATCCCATTCGATCTTTTACATACTCTTCAGCAACTTCTAAAATCAATCGAAAAAATAATATTACTCAAAAAAGGTCCTACAGAAAAAATCACTAGACCACAGTTTTTGAAACAATAGACTTCAGCTGCATCGATACGCTCAACAATAGCTTTGACTATATCTTTCAACGTTGTTTTAGAAGTCCAACAGGCGGTTTTCAATAATAATTCATGATGAAACTCACCTGAAATAAGATATACTCTTCAAATAAAATGTATTTATTTATTCACTCACCATCGTTGTTCACACTAGGATGATAGATAGGAGTTATAAATTTTACTTTTGGTGTATTTAATGGATAGTAGGGTGGTACTTTTATTTGAATTTGAAATGCACCCTCTTTAAAAATATCTGAATGCGGAAATATTCGTCCAATTATAATATGTTCTTTCGCTTCTTCATTAAATGATGCCGAGTCGAGTTTGAATATAACTGATGTATGCGTTTCGCTACCCAATAATTTTAACTCATCTATCTGAGTCCGAGCGTATTCATCAAAGTTCGATGTTGTCATTTCTATTAATCTAAACGAAAATCTAGATCTAAATCGATAATGAAAACCATAGGGATGTGATGTACAACAAGATATATTAATCGATACTTGCTTTAAGAGTGTTTGTCGGTCAAAACAATAAATAAATTAAAAAAATGTCGATTAGCAACAGCTGAAGTCTGGTTTTTTGAAAGTTCGTTCTTTTTGTTGATCAAACATGTTTTACGTAGCATACATTATATAGTATCGTGCTTATCGTATCCTATCGACTCTCTCTCATTAAACTATTCCAAACTGCATTGGAAAAAATCATGTTTTTATTTGTATCAGATAGAAAATTTTCCCACTATGAAAAAACAAATTTCTTGTGTGCACTCGAAATGAATCATGACATTTTTTTGCCCTCTTGCTCATATTATTTGATCGTATAAAACAAATGAATGAGAAAGAGAATAATGTCCTAAATTGCAGTTTAATTCTGCCAGAATAACGTCATACTGATTCATCTGTAAAGCTTCGATCTTTCATTTGAGGTCAATAGTAGTAATATTATTAATCAATTATTTCACAATATCCAGTGCATTAGACATGATTGATAAATATTTTGATTTTGATTAGTCCTTTCATGTTCTTAAAAAAAAGCAATTCGTTCAAAAATAAGATAAATCTTATTGCCTTTGAGCAAAGATGAAATGTCCTATGAACCTTTAAACTGTTGGGCTTTAGCACAATCTGTGCCAGTCTCGATAGCCTGAGACAACGATGAATACAAGTGGTTTTTCTCCTGTGAGATCGCCGATAATAAGCGCCTAGAGCTCCATGTAGGATGAACATCGTCCAAGAAAGTTCAACAGCGATTCGTGATAATGTGGATAAAATTTGCGTCTCAATATATAAGTAAATTTATTTTCATCGGAACTATGTTCACGATTATATGCAGGTGCAAAATCACCATGGTAATCAGTTTAAAAACTATATTAGATAGGATTGGATTATCATAGTAGTCGATAAATGAGTAATATTGTCGTACTAAAATCGTCCACTGATGGCCGATTGAGAATACATCGCGTACAAAACCTTTGCGACCGAGTACACCACCGATTTTCAGATGAACTTTTCTAATTTAAGCTACAAGACGATAGGCGTCGGCATGATTCTTTGGTGTAGACTTCTGATGAGAGTTGCCTTCGCGTTCATCGATCGAAAGAAACTTTAAAGGTTTCGCACATTTAAAAAGAATATATTGTGGTATGCTTTCGACTTCGTCATCGTCAGCTAGATTTTCAAGTTCAACAATAAGTGGAATCACACCCAGGATAGTCGATATTTATTTGCTGTTTGTCGCAACCCAAGCTTCAAATAAACAATGCGTACAAAGATAATTTTGGGGAAATACTTCAATTATATTAATTTATGAGCCCTATTTGAAAATGACTCACACTTAATTAATAGAATTCCGCTTAAATTGGGTATAGAGAATACTGTCTCATTTGTGAACATAAAATCGAACTAAATTTAAATCAAGTCTCAAATTGTCATTAATCAATTTGAATACAATTTATACGTTCAGTATCACTTTTGTCCATCTGCAATGTATGGAGTTCACTGGGTATTATAGGATGCAATCTTATCGTCATTATAACATAGAATCGAACATCATGTTCATGCCAAATTATCGAGGTGCATGAGCATTTATATACAAAAACCAAAACTGACAGAACAAAATTTCAAATAAAGAGTCCATAAATAGAGATGTTATAGTGAGCGTGTTCTCTTAACGCACATCCGCTTTCAGATTATTGGTACTCTCTTATGCAGCTGTATATGAATTTCCAAAATCTGAGTTCACATAAGACAGACCAAAAGGAATAGAGACCAAATGTACATGCTGTCCACAGGTTTTCGAAGGTATTAGTGACGAGAGCTTATCCACAGTGAATCTTTATAAATTTTGACGTCGGCATTTTTTTTACAGTTATGCTTAAAAAACATTGAATTCTGGTTTCAGATCTCTTCCACAAAATTTCTTTTCGAATAAAATTTCATGTCAACAGAAGGAGTGAGAACTAAATCATGCTCGTTTTCACAGTAAACTGTTTCTTTTTCTTCTGTAAATAAAGCAATTGATTTATTTTTTTTCTAGAGCTTCAGGGTCTCCTTACTATAAATTCTCGAGCACGATTTTATGAGACACTCTGTAACATTCAAGAAAAATACCTTTGGAGTAGCAGAATAAAAGTTACACTTTAATGAACTCGACATACCGTTTCATTTTGTCATTAGCGTGAGCTTAGATGTGTCGAATATAGATTCCGGTATCTTCTCTTCAACGACAATCAACACACCCACATCCATTCATTTGGATAAGCAGTGGTATAGACATAAACCTAACTCAAGCCGTTTGAACGGCACAAAAGATTTTAAACGCTTTTTCATTAATACAACAGCAATACGGATTTCAATACATTAATAATAGCTCAACCATTATCGAACCATAGGATAAGAAAAAACCCTATCCCTAGAATTCATGTCAGTTGTCAGGATCATTTCTAACAGTTTTAAACGTTTGGTGTATTTGATTTCTATACTGTATCTCGGTATTTGGTTCAGTATTTCTTATAGAAATAATACATTTATTTTCTATAGGAAGTCATAGCAAGAGGGTTCCGTTTATTACCTTTTCTTCCAACAAGAAGCCGCTTGTCATATTTTCATGCTGAAAACAAAATAATTGAAAAAATGTGAAAGGATTGACGTGAGAACAAAAACTGATCACAGAGATTGCGGCTATGCTTGCGAGTAAGTGTTTGACAACAGCGTACGGGCATCTACAACCTCAGGATAGATGGTTTTGGCTTGAACAGAGATAGTCCTCTTGTTCATATTATTATTATTAAACATGATCAGAGGCACAGAGTGGCATTGAGGCGACGAGGACGATGATTGTTGAAGAAAATAAACTGATCGCTTGATCTACAATTGATAGAAGACGGACATTTAGATATGAAGACGCTGGCTGAAAATAAAATCAAGAAACTACGTAGTAGACATGTCGGCATATTTTGTTTTTATGTATTTAAGTTGTTTGCAGTAGATTGTCAGAAACAAGAAAAGTTTTCGTTGTAAATAAAAAAATATATAAGGCAAAATCTATATACTGTTTTTTTTAAAGTTCAAAATGAATTGAAATTCGGAAATATTCTTTATGTTTGTTATTTTAAAAATCAATCCAACTGATCGGCTATCGGAGACATATTCAAATTCTTTCTAGACAAAGCGATGTTTCGGGTATCCTGCATTTTTTCATTTCCGTCAAACTTAGAATTGCCTGTACAATATTCTTGATTAAATACTTCTTTGATGAATGAAAATTGGTGACTAAGTTACTCGTTCTTTAAATAATCCCTGTAAATTATTTGTTCATGTGAAGAAAGCAATGTAATTTCGATCAGTGGAAAAGAAAATAACTCCGATGCTTGTCGATGATGAAAATATAAACTGATTTGCACTGAATTGATTGTTTTATATGAGGTCGGCATAGCGCGTTCATTATTAATACTGAAAAGGATAAGATAATGATGTTTATAACATTTTTCACGTGAAGCGCTTTTCTTTAAATATACTAGTACTCGATACTGATGACAATTGATTCTATCAATGGGGTTAACTAAGCAAAACATGTTGCTACATAATACAATGAAATAAATGGGTTGTGTTTTTTGCTTAAATAACGTCTTTTATTTGCATTCAAACATTTTCAATTAATTCAAATATATTTAAACGCCTATCGTCTAAAGTCAACATTCATTTATTTTCACTTTTCTATTTATAACGTAATTTCTGTTAACCTTCTTTTTATGATATAGAATTCTTTGTTCGCAAAAATAAAAGAATCTTGTTTTTTGAAATCGGAGATTTCATAGTTTATAAGGCAAAATAAAATTACTTTGCATGCCTAGGCAGAAAATAACCCTTCAGCGATCGTGCTAATCATTCACATTAAAAGTATAAAATACTAACGTAAGCGCATGCTATATCCTGTTATATTCTATACATCAGCCGATTAGTTCACTGTTTACGTTATGCGATAATTTTATACTAGTCCACTTGTTTGCTTTCTGTGTACGTATAGTTCCTTTTGCTATACAGTAACATTTGTTGTTGGTATAATCGACAATACGGCTGTCGTCATTTTGCCATTAATTGTGAAAGTTTTGCTGACTTTCATTTATCATTTGGTGTGTCACATCAGTGCGCGATTGCCATATGCTTAATATTCTTGCATAATATTTGTTTTCTTTCAAGCAACGCATGCGAGTGTATTGTTCTTTTTCTTCCTATATAACACAGTCTCTTCTACATCGTATTGCTTGATTTTTGTGTTGCTCTGCAATAAGAACATACAGTTTCGAAACGTTACTATGACCATTCGCGTCGTATCATATAATATTCTAGTGCCCATTTATGCTAATCAACCGGAACAGTATTTTAAATGTCAATGTGAATTTCTTCAAACTCAGTATCGATGGAAATTAATTCAATCTCATCTAAAACAAGAAATTATCCATCATGAAAACACAATAATTTGTTTACAAGAATTGTCTTTGACTCTTCTACCTGAAGTCGAACTATTTTTTCGTCAATTAAATTATACGTTCTTTCATAATCTATACGGTAAACGAGGAAATGATTACATGGGTGTAGGTATGGCAATACCCAGTTCTATGCAGATTAATTCAATATCTATTGTTAAAGTGGGAGATAGGATACGGTCGATGAGTAAAACTCTTAAAAGACAAGAAAATTTTCTCTCATGGGGATGGCAATTTTACCAGTTTGTTATGAATAAGTTTATAGAAGCGGCATCCGATCCATGGGAAATTGCCATGAATACATCTAATACTTTGCTTTGTATTCAAGTAGTTATCGATAACAAACCAATATTTATTGGTACGTACCATATGCCTTGTAAGTTCAAGGAACCCGATGTCATGGCAATTCATGCTTTGGTTGTCAAAGATTTGATGTTTCAATTAGCAGATGGTCAAGATGTAATTCTAGCAGGTGACTTCAATGCAACACCATCGGATATTTGTTACAAGGTTTTCACAAAAGAAGATTCTCTTAGTGGCAATTTACCGAAATCGAGTAATTACGAAATTTTCTTTCGACCTAATGTTGAACACGTATTTAAAAGTGCCTATCGAGAGAAGAATGCATCGGAACCAGTTTATACAAATTTTGCTGATACATCAAGCTCAGGAAGCTTTTGTGCTACACTGGATTATTTATTTTTTAATGGTCACCTAACGGTAGAAAAAGTTTTGGAATTACCAGATCATCCTTCTAGCGAATCTTATCCTGATGAAACACATCCTTCAGATCATCTTATGATTGCAGCAACATTTCGCTCATCATAATTTGAGAATTGCGTTTCTATTCATTTTTTTATTCGATCAACTCAATAAAATCAATTGAATTTTCTAGTGAACATTCTAACTTTTAAGCTGTCGAGAATCTCCATTTTTATTCGTCACAAGATCCATATTGAGCATCTGTTTTTTATATTCTATTAATTATAATTAGAGATGCAACGGTGACGGTGAATCACTGGTTCACCGTCCACCCGTAACCGGTTGCACTTAACCAGCTCTGGTTGGAACTAGTTGCTAATAGGAACAAATACTGCCACTCGCTCATGGCTTCAACAGCACCTTAGCTATCACAATATGTAATTATTCAAAGGCCAACTTTTAAGTTGAGAAGATATGAATGGCGCTGGTCAATTCTCTTTTTTTCAGATATCTTCTTAATAATTGCTGATAGTGGAGCTGACACACAGACGATTTAACTGCATCGAGTAACACCGGTTATCGTCACCGTTGCACCCCTACTGTTAACATTATATTACTATAAAATTTGAAGTTGAGATATGGGTGAGTTTCAGAAAAGTAGTTCTCTGCATTGTACATTTTAATACAATATTAATCTTTTTATTTATTAATATCATCGCAGTTTCTTTGTTATTCGATAAAGCTATACCAAATAATTTTAAAATCAATGTTTGTTTTGTAAATTGTGAACAGATGAAGTCTTGTTTATCAATCTATAATCTAGACACTCATTATATTAATGTTCTCTCTATAGGATTTTCAAATAGTTTATAATAATAGTATAACAGTCGAAGCTATGATGACATTCATATTTTAGTTCAGAGATTTTGCGATTACATATTTACAAAGAACATGCCCTTCTTTAATTCAGAAATCAAACTTAACTTTGCAAAGTTGACTTCTAAAATTTCGTTGTGTAGATTTCAAAGTATTACACTTTGCGATCAAAATAAAAAATATTTCATCAAGTCTCTATGTGGAGAAAATAAAAGCAATTTTATTCCATTTATTATAAATCATTTCGATTGCAATCATTGCTAGTTTTATAAACCTTCTTTTGTGTTAACTTTCTTTCAATTTAAGGATTTTCCGGTGATATTCAACTTCTTTATTTTTAAAACTCGGTCAACTTTTGTTGAAAATTTTCTCGTATTGTATGTAAAGCGATTTTTATTACAATAAAAAGATATCAATTTCGAAAAATTCTCGATATAATTAGATAAAACATAGTACATATTACCATTGAGGAAGTACGAGTCGCCTCGTTGTTGGCTTCTCTAAAAAAAAAGCAAATATAATACAAGTTGACATAGAATCAATGAATACATTTTACTCTTACCATCTTCAACTACGGAAAAACTCATTGCAGGAACACCATCAAAATCAACAGTTGACCCAAACGTCGTTGTATTTTCATTTATATTTCTTACTATTATCCCGATAGATGATGTAGGTTCAACAGCGTAAATTTGAGTTGCGTTACTACTATCTTGCATACCAAGAGCTAAAAATTCTCCATACCCTATAAGAAATGTCTGTGAAGGAATGTTTATCGTTTGCCATTCTGTAGTATATTTTTCAGGAAAAACGGCATATCGATGTGAGATCTTACAATCAAGCATAAATCCCGTTATAAGAAATAAGTAGAGCGGCACAGTCTCCTCCCACTTTGTAAATAGACGAAAATTGACTCGACTAACATAGCCAGCATTTAAACAGAACATATTAAGATTGAAATAGAGTACATTACCAAGTGCACGCCCACTCGTGACATATTGTATAGGTTCCTTAAGAGAATAGTTTTTTTCTTGAAAATAAAAGATTAAAAATAAGTTTTCCTATAGTTTGAAAGTAAATGATACACAGCTTACATTTTACTATGTTATCAGGATCTCTTGTTGCTATAATAGGTGGTGAAGAACTTAAGATATTGTTCATAGTGTTAATAATATCTGGTGAATTAGTTGATGTCATATATTCTGTTTCATCGGGATCTACCGTTGATACAATAGGCGGCGAAGAACTTAAGGCATTCCTCCTGGTGTTAATTGTATTTGGTAAACTTGTTGTTTGAGTTGTGATTGACGTTGAAATCGGACGATTTGCTTCGAAGGAAAAATATCATGCCTTCTAGATCTACACGAATTTATAACATATGAAAGATCAACTTACAGTTAAAATGTTTATAGGTCATTATTGCTCCCAGTGTACATAAACCGAGACAAATAATAATCAACACTAGTCCTAGAAGCTTCTTTTTTCGAGCTCGAGTAGCAATATGTATTTTTATTCATATTAGTAACAATGAAATTGATATAGATAATTACATACTTGACTACAACTAAACTTACGCCTTGATTGTTCATGTGAACAAAAACGAGAAGATTGACTTTACTTGAAATCGTTTATTAACATGTAAACTCGCAGTGAAAAATAATCTTCTTGATTTTGTTTTTATTTTACAGATTGACTCGATTAAATATTTGAAAATTACTCTGTTCTAATCTTAAAAAAGGAAACAACAAAATTATCTAGCACGTGCCTATAATATTGTAAAAAGAGCTTGTTTATTCTCGATTGGTGAAGGTAATGCTTTCTGACTTTTCAGGACTAGCACTCGTTTATTTACCTTTCTGTTAACAACAGCCATCTGTTGTATAATTCTTACTTGTGCAGTTTTTTAAACGTGTTTTATGTTAGTTATGCTGCTAGATAAAGTTCAGTTTATTATCTGGATATGTAAAGTTAAAAAATTATTTTTCACAACTAAAAGAAACATAAAGTAATTTATAAAAAAAATGATCCTGCACGAAAGTAGGGGTGAACCATTTGCATTCATTTTAAATTCAGTTTCATGTTGAATATAGCCATCGAATAGGATGCATTAAATTAAATGGTTCATTTCCATTTGGGAATGTTTCAGAACAGCTAGAAATGGATTAGAATAGATAGGAATGCGAGAGAATGTCCGAATGAGCCCCCATGTCCTTGCATTTTATAGTGCTCTAGATAACAATTTGATAACAACTTGAATGTTTTACGTATCGTTTTGTTATGTGGACTGGTTTCTACTAGGAAAAGTTCTAAAATATTCAAAATGTTTCACTCATAAAAGGTCAAAAATAAAAAAAAGATGTCTGAATTAAATATTTTCTGTTTCGTTTTCATTTGTCTATAAATTAATTGTTGACACTAATTCATTTAAGATGTAGGATGAGAAAATCTTGCTGTGTGTTGCGTATTTTTCATAGATCGGCATTCATTTCCATGTCTACACGGAGGTAGTTTAGCTTTCAATGCAGCACCCACATGATGACTTTTCGGTGTATTGCTTTCTGGATAAATAAAAAATTGATATTTACTCATAAAGGCGTCAATCTATGAAAAGAAAAGTGCACTCACTCCGTATGCGAGGTATTTCTTCGCCATGAAAAAATTTTAGTCGATGATCAGGAGTTTTGTCATAACAGGTATCTTGAAAATGACACGGGATTAGGTAATCCGGCAAACCTGAATGACGATATTCTGCGCGATGGACAGGATTTGTTCGTTCTGAACAACTTTTATCTTCTAAACACTTGGGAACATTATGCTTTTTATGAACAAGATGAGGTTCGCCCGCTTGATTTCGACATAATTCATTAAAACGACAAAAATGAGAATATTTATCTGTGTGATCTCGCTCGTTTTGGATGAGACAATAGATAGAATCTGCGCATAGTGGCAATGCCGATGAAATCAATGGTACTGAACTTGCTGCCACCGGTTTCGATCCGGATGAATGGACTTTTGATGACTTCGGCGGAGGAGAATCAAATTTTGATGGATTATATGATGAAGAATCCGATTTCGATTCATTGTCTTTGAACAAGTTGGATGATGATGATGATGGTGGTGGTTTAGATTCCGGGGGATCGCCTCCTTTAGTTGTGCCCATAAATATATATTTTAACCTTTCGAAAAAACCCCGTTTCTTTGGTTTTGTTGTTTTCCCTGGTGTTGCTGGTGGATCAACTAGTTTGACATGCAAATCAACTGTAGATGCTGCTTTTTTTATAGGTTTTGGAGAAGCATCAGAACTATGCACATCTTTATCACCACCTCTATCAGTAGTACCGCCAGTATATTGAAATGATGCTCGACGTGCTCTGATCAAATTCAACGTGTCTAGCTTAAAATCTCTATCAAAAGTTGGATGTAGCTTGTCAATTGGTTCATGATTAATAGTCAGATTCCGTATGGGAACATCTTGCTTTCCAGCACTGATATGAATGTAATTCAATCCTAATAAATCTACCTCAGATTTTTTGAATTGATAATAAATATTTTCATGATTATAGATTCCATTAGGGCCAGCATGTGTTAAAGAAACTTCACCTGTTTTGTAATTGATTTTCAAGCAAAATGTAAAAAAATCATCTGTATTACAGCCACGATAAAAACAATTTGATTTTGCCTTAAATGTTGCCGAATCAACATTATTTGAGTGTTGATAAGGATTACCAACAGTTAAATAAGAATATGCTTCAAAATAAGTATCTGTTTTTGATGATGGTTTTTCAGCTACATAACAAATAAGACATTGAAGATTTGGTTGATCTTTCCCATCAATTTCAATCTTTTCATTAGTTATAGTTAATATCATATCACCATTCATTGCTTGCCAATAGATATAGCTTGATTCCATATTTCTTGCTGGCTGACCTTTATTAAGACAATATAAATTATACGACTGAGTTATTGTCATTGGCAGAGCAATATATTTGTCACATCCTGTTCCTGGAACTGTTATAACAATGCCTCGTGAAATATGTGGTGCTTTTATTCGCTCGTTTATCTTTTCACTAAGCTTATCAAGTATCCATTTTAAATAAACTTGACGAGTTGTATCTAGCGGAGTTGTAGTACCTGGTTTAATTAGAGTAAGATCAACATCATGTTCGCCGAGGATCAACGAGTCTTTAAAGATTTCTTTAGCTGACTCTTGTGCTTCTTTTGGTAGTGATTGAAACACATTTTTTGGCATAAATACATTATCGACATAATCCAATGGAATAAGTGGTGGTAAATGTCCCTCAAACACGTAGTGTGAATCGGCTTGAGTCCACTTTTTTATTATACTGTCGAGATCGACATCCATCGTTTTGTTATTTTTACCAGTGGATGCGATTAACTCTGCAGCTGCTGCATATTCATATCGAGGATATGAGCAATGCAATTTTGAATGATGAAAGTGTTCAATACGCTGCTCTTCAGTAGTCGGATCCGTCAACCATGGGCGGTACGCGTAAACGCGGCCACTAAAAAACCCAGTCCCAGCTTGGAAGGAAAAATTAGAATCAGGATGAAACATTAATTCTTGTTTAAACGTTATAACAATATCACCATAATATGTACCACAGTGTGGTCCTAGTATACTGAAAACATGTTTGTCTGTTCTTAATTTTTTATCGACATCAAATCCTATACCAGCTAGATTTTGACTTAATTCGATTGATGCTGCAACTATTTTAGCTGTCCAATCATAAATAGTTTGAATATCTTGCTTTTCAAGTGGCGGTTTTAATTTCTTTTGAATAATATTAACTTGATTGTCATGATCAGCATCTAATGTAGGCACTTCAGCTGATCCAGCTTTTAAAAACTCACTTCTAACCAATAGTTTGATGAGTTCTTTTGCATTTTGTCTCACGGCCGGAGCGCTATGTCGAAGGAAAATTGAACGAACTTGACTGTGTTGCAAGACTGCTTGAACAACGCATCTCGGCTTGATTAACAAACTCATATAATCTCGACTCATAACATGACCATGAACGAGAATCGAAGTGAATATATGCGGTGCACATCGATGAACAGGTTGTAAAGCTCTTATCCAATTGAGTATATCTTCAGAAATCTTTGCTTTTGCCCAATTAGATGCTTCAACATAATTGTTCACCGTTTTTATTATATTACCTTGATTACGAAAGAAATCTATCAAACGATTAAGATTACTTGACGGAGCAACGCTTAGATGATTGAAGTTTCTACCATGTCTATATGTTCTCAAATGTTTATCTTCGTATCGATCTGGGCATTCATAACCTGGATTACGACAAAAGAGACGAATATCTCGAATACCTGGATGAGAAAACGATTCTAGATGATTTTCATCAGCAAGTCTTGAACACATATCACGATCAGGGCAAAGTTGTCGAGCAACATGGATGGATGTTGCATAATGTGCTTCGCCAGTTGTCTTACATAGGCGACCAAATTGACAAACATGGGAGTATGTAAGACAATGATATTCAACATTGGAAGGAATTTTTGTTCCACCAGCTTGAATATATTGAAAAAACATCGGACAGTTGTAAGGTGTAAATGAGCATGGCTCTTGAAATGAATGAATTGTATTTTTAAAATGTTCTCTATCATGAAAGTTTGGACAACAATTATCATCCGCACAAATCGTTTTGCAATGTCGAAAAGCATCTAAATGTGCAGGAATTTTTTTTTTATACTCCAAGCAAGTAATTCCACTGTGACAAACAGGCAAGTGTCGATAAGCAAATAAATGTTCGGCACTAACGTTGACACAATCAGATTTCTTTTTACAAAATTCCGGATGATCTAAATCATTCAAATGTTGTGGATCTGTATTATTACATTCACCACCACGTTTACATTTCATTCTATGAAAAAATGTAAGCATATGAACTTCATCCTCCATCTGATCACATGTTAAATTCGAAGTTTGATATAAACAAATGGGTGGATGAGAAAAAGTAGTATTATGTTGTGTATCTTTAATGTCACGACATTCAGTACCATGATAGCAAGGAGGAAGATGTTGAATACATGAATCACTTAGAGTTATTTTTCCATCTGGTAGTTTCTTTAGAATACGGTATGGTCCACTAGCTCCATTGACTTGTATTATTTTTGATGGATGTACAATCAAACCGTCGAGTATCTCTTTAAATGGAATAAAATTTCCTTTGGGATTAATACGATTTCCTGTATTATGATCATCAATAATAGCAAAATAAATCTTTTCAAAATATCCGGCATATTGATAAATAATTGATTTGAAGAGTAAAGCTACGTGTTCAGGTGGATTTTTGAAAGCACCACAGCCAAGAGCTGATAATACTAAACAATCATGTTTATGATGATGACCTATTGCAAATATACTGTCGATTTTTTTGTGCGTACTTGTTGCCATTTTTTTCTCTAACATATTCTTATTAGTTAATGCCGGTTCTCGATGAGCAGCCATTGCAATAGAACAAACATTATATAAAGGTTCTTTCATATACGGATAACCATTAGCTTCGGTTCCACGAAATACAGTTATACCCGATGTGTAAATTCCTCCAAATTCTTCCATCGGATACAAACCAGCATACCCTGTTGGTTTTTTAAATTCACACTTTGGTGTACAAAAAAGTCGTTCTGACCGATCTTTATCGGCTATTTCGAGATCAAGACTTTGATAGTAATCCGAACGACGAAAAATATTTTCTTCCTGTGCACCATCACCTTTCCGATATCCACCGCCAGGGCTATTTGCATTAGCCATATTCAGCAATAGTGGTCGATATCCTTCTCTAACTAATTTCTCATAAATGACTAGACAATCTTCGTTGGATACGATGACACTTGTTGATGGATATGGCGTCGTTAGTTCTGCCTCTGAAATTGTTTTTGTATAGGATAACTTTGATTTATGATCATAGCCAATTGTTCGCATTCGTTGCAGTTTTAATGTCACTTCTTCATCGTCTAGAATGTAATTTTTCTTTCGAAGAACACTAATTGTATTCAACATAACTGTAACTCGTAATAAATGTCGGCCAAGATCATATTTTTTTGAGCGCCGATCGGTTGTGTCCATTTTTTTCATTTGTTCAAGCCAATTCTCTGCACTCCATTTATAACGGAATATTGGATGTTGATGATCACTCATGATTGTCACTATATCAGGTTTGATATCATTCATCTCTGTTTCATACCAGTTTTCAGCATTCAATTCACTTGAATCGGGATCACTAGTGACACTGTGTGGCTTAATAGTCATGGTAGTTTTTCCTATGCGGAGAGCTCCAATCGCTAAACATTCTTCATAGTTATCCATACCATCGAGTTCTATTATGAGATGATCAACGATATGACTATGTCCCACTGTCCGAGATGCAAATAATTTGTGATTCAGTATACAATCGAGACCAAAATCAGAAGGTACAGGAGAAACAACAACTCGATAAGCAAGTTTAATCTTTTTTGAAATATTTCTTCCGTCAATTGTTAAGAAATTTTGTGCATTCCACTTTTTATTAGACTTTGTTGCTAAAACAACTGCATTACTTGTCTCGCTATCATACTGTACGTAGAACGATGTGGGGGCTAGTTTCTTCTCTTCGATTTGAGCAGCAATGACAGATGAAAGCTTTTCAGCATTGGTATTTGACGGTAGATCTTCAAAGAAACTACAATCACTACGTGGATAAACAGTAGCGAAAACATTTTCAATTTTAAAATCTGGTGCGCTAGCCACTTGAGAAAGTTCATCTAGTGTAGTCAATGAAATGCGAAATATATTTGGAAATTGGATTGATATTGATTTACATGGAGGAGGTTCTCTTGTCTTATATGATTGCATGTAACGACGAGCTACATCGTCAGCGGATGGAACTTTGGATATATTTCGATCGACGACTACATAAGAATCAAGGTCGATTTCACCGATAAAGTTAATAATTGTATTAGTTTTCGGATAAAGAACTATGGTCTCAAGCTTAGAAACGAGAAATACTTTGTCCTCTTCATTGATTAATCGAATCACAGCCACGCCAAGTTTTAAACAGCATCTAATATCTTTAATTTTTAAATTTTGGGTTGCCTCGAGGCGACTTTGAATCCGTATCTCAAGATCATTTTCTGGTATGTTGGTTGGTATGTCTTCTACGTAAACTTGTAAATCTTGATCAGATGAGACTGTAACAGATGATTCTTGATTCTGTGAAACTTGTGCACGCGAACGACGCCCAGATGATGGTCTCAGTTCATCTAATACTTTAGCCGATCGAACACTATTGCCAGCCATAGACTTATACCAGTAGATTTCGATCAAAGTAATTATCACCACAGCTAGTTAAAATGACAACAATAGAGACATATTTGAATGAAAATAGGGAATTATTTTCAAAATTTGGGTATGGGTTTGTTGGTACAGTTTACACGATTACTCCCACACTCGCACACTTCCACATTCCCAACCAAACCTTCAAAAACCCTCCCACCAACTCTAATGAAATATCATTCATATTTGTACCTTACATTTATATTATAGATATCATATAATGACAGTTAACGTCTCGATACATAAACACAATACGAGATCTAACTGCAAATGTCATTAAGACTAGAGTGAAAAAAAGTCAGAGTAACTCATCTAGCCCATGCATGATCACTGCACGTTTCGATTAAAACATACAATTTTCTTCAAAAAGAAAAAGAATTTTCGACATACTTTTTTATAATAATTGATTCACTCAGTAGTCAGTCTAAATCTACAAGAAAGAATTGGAATTTCAGACCTTCCTACTAAAACGAAACAATAGCAACCATTGTAAATTTCCAAGTTTATTTCAATATGCCGCCATCACAACTATGTTCTTGAAGAAGCAGCGTATTTATTTAGGATTCAATGAAAGGAAGTAGAGCAACAGAGTCACCTAGCAACCAACAACAAAAAAGCATCCTCTTCCATGCTTTTTCTAAATTTCAATTGGTTACAAAACAATGAATCAAGTTCAGAAACTAAAAAAATTGAAGTAAATAAGCAGAATGAAAATTACCAAGGAAGAAACTTTAACTCGGTACTTTTATTTCTATTTGTTCTGCTGCTGACTTCAGCAGAGAAATTTTTTCTGCGCAAGAATTGCACAAGTTTGAGCACTAATGGAATTTACATTAGGTTTTAATGGATTCTCATCTGACTGAAGAGAAATACTGATACACGCTGAGAAAAATGTGACGTGGCATCACTGAAAATAATTTGTTGCAACAAGCACCTCGTGCGATATTTTAGGTTCTTTGTGTGAGGGTCGAACGCTATGGGCATGTATTTAAAGATGCTGACTCTCACACTGATCACACGCTCAAATCCAAATTCACAGCCAACTCCACACTCCTTCAGTGTATGCATCTCCTTTCAGTAGAGGAAGTATCGAAAATTGTGGGCGTGGGTGTGGCTGCGGCTACTGATGATGTGCTGACATCAGTGGTGAACCCAAAATCAACACCCACATCCTCTAATGTGATAGCGTCATACGAACAAAATTTAATTGATATAAAAGAATATCAAGGAAAAAACAGAGTGATTTCCTATTCATATATAAACGCTTTAGAAAACAATCAACTATAGAAGAACTAATAACACTTTATAATCAATGTCCATGAAATGAACGAAATCTATGCGAAATAATTTTTCCAACAAATCTAGTTAAAACGTAAATCGATTGCGAATATTATATTGATAATAATCTTGATATTAATGATCATTGTATTGGAGCAAATTATTTTCTAAAAATCATTTATGATGCACTGAACTGCTTTGGTCACAATATGATGCAAACGAAAATTATATTCATATTGCTTTACAACAATTTCTTGTATTAGAAGCGTACATTCTGATAATCTCATCGAACAGCTTCCAAATTCTTAAAATTCTGTTCTATGCTACAAACCGATTAAAAAAAGAATACTGTCGAGTTCAAAGAACATCTGTAATAAAATGTCTTCATAGTCAATTCTCACCAAAATGCGTGGAAAAAATATCAAATAATAAAATTCCGATATTCAAAATTCAATTCAGATAGTGTATCAGAAATTGCACACCTTCTTGTAATGAATAAAAAACATCAATATATTTCAGCAATTGATTTAAATATTTATTCTAAAAGTCAACATTTTCGATTATATGATTTTGTGAAACGAGGGTAAAATAATTTTCTTCGTCAATTATCTTATTTTCAATTCAATCAATCATTTGAAAATTCATATGGTACATTACTAAAAAATCAATCATTACTTATAATGTAGAACATTCAAATTTACAAGTAGTTTATCGCGAAAACAATCAATTAAAACTCAAACATACCGATCTAAAAACTGTATCTTTATTATATGAACATATTTAAAATATGTTTACCATCATAAATCAACATTTGAAATCCTATTGTATGTTTGAAATTAGTAATGAGAAATCATCTTTTCAAAAGAATCATTTCAACTTTCCCTAAATTTATAAACCATACGATTACATCGATCTTTCACAACAACAAGTAATGAAATATACAGTGTTCGTACAAAAATGAATTGCATCTGATGAAAATCGCCAAGGATATATTCAATCATGTGTTGGTGATACTTACAATAAAGATCATCTCATCTTCAACGTCGCAAGCAGCAATCGATTCTGTCCACGAAAAGGATCGCATCACAAACAAAATAGAGTAACAATTTTAATAGATACGAATAAATAAATATACAATATTCGCTGTAGAGATCATAGATGCAACAATATAATCTTGGCGTCTAATTCCTTTTAATAAATTTTCGCAAATGAGCCACTTCAACGTCATACGCGAAATCAATAAATTGCATTACCATTTTCCTTTCCCAATACTATTTTCCTATCTTAGATAACTATTACAATTTGGAGCTATCTATATCATCCTTCAAAAGTAGCTGAATGAGGAAAACTTTCATTAGAATTAAAATTCCTGTACGATTTCTTAATAGTGACAAAAGCAGTAAATATCATACCGATTCACTAAGTCCAAAAATCAGCAAGTAATTAGAGAAAACTAATAATTAGCTATAAGATTCATTAAGTAGCTATAGAATTCATTCAGTAGCTATGCTTAAGAAAATGCAGCAGGCTATAGTAAAAAGTAACTCTTTTGAGAATGAGCCGTAAGTGTTCTGACGCCTTCAGTTATCTCCGATATTTTTCTACTGATGAATCCATTCCGATAGAGTGCAGAGGGCCTGCAGAATGCCTAACCAACAGAATTCAGAATTTTGTTATTTTGTACATAGCGAAAAAGTAGCATAATATAAACATACGCACTACCGTAAGTGGAAAATAGAATTCTATCGGTAGAAGCAGAATTATAACCAACTATCAGTATAAAAACGCGAAACAGAGATAACTAGAATGAATTCTTATCGAGAAGTTAAAAAGACCAGCAGAATATAAAATAAAATTCTATCGATAATAGCAGAATACAAAGCTCAAACGCTTATTTAAAAATGAAAGGTTTTGTGTGATTTATTGTAGTCAACTGTTGCGAAGTATGCTTGTAAAAAGTTGTTGATATAATGATGGTTGTTTGTTCATCTCTAGATTTCTTTTTTTAATCATGCATGCCTAGAGAAGAAATTGATACACATCGAAGATAGTTGATCATGATTACATCATGAAACGAGAGAAAAGAAGAAACATTTACATTGGCATGTATATCAAACATGGAACAATATCATGCATTATTGAGAATGAAATATTTTGTACACGCTAAAGTCAGGATTGTAGAATTAAACAAGCTATTTAATGAGCAAGTTGTTTCGTATCTTTGTAATTTCATTCATTTCTTTCTAATAAGACTACATATAGATTATCTTACAAAAACACTTAAACAGTTATACAAACAGTTTTTTTTTATATTATCAATAACTTGGAAAGTTGCCTTTGAATTGACGCACTATGTTCTGCCAGTCTGTTTTTGAAGCAGGAAGATCCGCGCGCAGAACATCGGCGTGTACAAAATTTCACGTCTACCAGAGACATCAGTAAGTTTGAAATAAATTAGAATTGTTGATGTTTTCAATTAAACTAGATGTTTTAGATTCCCTTCATTTCGTATAAAATCTATCCTCTATCCATAAAATTTACGAAAACAACTTTAATCCTCCGAATTTGTGCTAAGCGAACAACATATCCAACGCATTTGTTTACACAAAACATATTCCATTACCCTAACATTCTATAGAATTCTAAGCAGATTCAAACAAGCTACAGTAGAATTCTAATATCATATGAAGAGCAAAAGTGATATACTTTAACTGTGCCAATATAGAATTCTATTCTATAAGCATTGATTTGTTTAAAAATATTATAAGTTTATAGAATTCTGAATTCTGCTGCGTAGGCATTCTGCAACTGCCCATGTAATCTCGAAACACATTTTAGACGCAGTTAGATGCGTTTATGTTGCAAATTTTGGCGTCCTGATGCGTTTCGGTATCGAGTTTTGATAAAAACGCAGATAAAGGCGTTTGTAATTATCTTATTAAACGCGTTGAAAGAACTTCGACGAGTTTGTTAGCGTTAATCAGAGCAAACGTACACAAACGCGCTTAAATTCCTATTTTAAAACGCGTGTGAACGCAATCTGTGTCTTTTCTTGCGTTAGATCTTGTACCACAATTGAAACGCAATTTATTTGCTATCCAACAAACACAGTAAAATCAACGAAGTAGATAAAACGCATTACATGGAGGTATGAGTAGTTCATGAAATGCCGAAAACGCGTTTCATTACACTGATTTCCGAAACACAACTGAATTCATAGTTATATAGTAGGTACTGCCAATGAAGAGTGGTCAGACGTGCAGCAAAGCTAATATTTTTGGTTTTCCGGTTTTCACTTTCGTCTTGAAATACGCCGAAAAGGATTATATTTTCAAACTAAAATCAAAACTTCAAAGCTAGTTTTGATTTTGGTTCATGCCTAAGAATAATAGCTATCGAAATCTGCATTTATATAAAAATAGGCTTGAGTACAACGGAGTTTGCTCTAGTTAAAATGCCACATTGCACTAGGAGCAAAGTCTTTGTGTTATATTTCGTCTTTGGAAACTGTTAAGTAGTGGTAGAAGAGTCCCTTATTGATTCAATTAAGTAAGAAAGAAATTTATTTAGTTTTATTGAATACGTATATGATGTCCATGATATTTTTTCTTTTGAATTCTAAAATTCGGTCTTCGTTTATATATTGAGGATTGAATCAAATAAGGTTTGGTTTAACCCATTGGTTTTATCAAATGAGTATTTCTGTGATAATGCATTTCTATTCGAAAGTTTTTATTGAAAATATTAGGCTATAAATACAACTGTATGCTTCTGTTTCCTCAAACTCGGAAGTACTTTCTGTTGCACACACGATAGATTATTACCTTGACATTATTGTTAGGACTTTCATCATCACTGTCGTAAATAACTAAGTAAATTAGATATGCATATTCTGTTTTTACTTTCAATTGCTTTTTAAATAAAAACTGCACAAAAGTGTTCTTTGATGCAGAGTTTAGTATAATTATCTTTATTGTTCCTTATTGAACAGTGCATTGACGTAAAGTTTATTTTATGAAGTTAAGAAAAACGAAAAAAACGCATCGTAAGTTACGATTCGTAACTATTTAAAAACTTGAAAACAAACAATTTTTTAAATATTCTAATTCAAATATCAATCAATATTCTGTTCTAAAAAAACAAATTAAGTAAGTTGAAAAAATTCTTAACATTATAAGATCATTCATTCTATTTCCGATGGATGACTTAAAAGATTACAGTATGACGGTTACGAAAAAATACACAGACAAGATCTTTTTATTTTATGTGTTGTGATATATCGTTCTCATTTTCTATAAAAATACTTGTTATAGTGTGTTTATTCTGATGGAAAAAATTTTAATTAATATTATTATACTGCATATATGTACATTTATACCCTTCAAAGACAGATATATTTGCTTTTCTTAACTTTTTCAGTAACCAAAACTTTGAATTTTTTTCCACTGTTATTTCATGGATACAAAGAATGCCTAATCTTAATTTCATTAAAATAAATATCCTAACTATATTTATTTTAAAAAGCAAGATAAGTTAAAAGCACTGTAAAACGATTAATTCATGTGATTCATGAAGATAATAACAATATTAAGCAATGTATGGCTCAGCGCAAGTTATGTTCGGCTTGTAATCAAATGTTCATGGGTTCAAATCTTGGTTCACGCTATCGTTGGAAAAATTACCACTCTGTTGATCATGGTATATGGGTGTTATATCAGAGCTTAATATGATGCGTCGGCTCAATTCCGACACAGAGTGATGATAATTTTTAATTCTTTTTGGGGGAAAAACGTAAACGCGTTCTAACGCATCTGCATCCAGACGCGTTTAGACGCGCTTACTTTTGGATGCGTTCCCACGCTTGAAAATGATGCATTTTGGACGGACACTAACGCATCCTCAAATTCAAACGACTTATGATACGTTTAGATACTGAACGAGTGTAGACGCGTCAGATTACCCTGGACGCGTCTGCACCCCCGAAAATGTTGCATTCTAGATGCGTCCTGATGCGTGAAGTGTCATCTTCACAAACGCCCAGAGACGCGTTACGACTCCAAAAAAAGTTACATGGGGCTGAGAGCGCATCGTTTCTTGCACGCAAGACTTACTTGCGTCACATGTGTCTCGAACAGCTCATGTTGCAATTATTTCCGACATATTTTACGATAAAAACAGCTGTGATGTGGACTATTTATGACACATACAACACAAAACAAAAGCTGACAAATAAGAGAGATTGGCAATCATATCTATCCTTTCGTGAGCTCACATCTCGGTTTCGCAGTTTATTTATTCATTGAAAAAATGTCGTCGTCATCGGATGCAAATACCATTGCCTTGTTGAACAATATTTCAACTCAGCTCAATTGTTACTTTGCATTGCGATCGTTCTATTCGGTATTGTGGGCAATATTCTCAACATACTCGTTCTATCGCAGCGACCTCTCCGTTCAAATCATTGCGCATGGCTTTTTCTCGTTTCATCAATTGTCAATTTCGTTGGCATTATTGCTGATCTCAGTACTCGATTTTTATCCACTTGGGGTGCTGATCTAACAAATACGAATCAAGTTCTTTGTAAACTTCGTATCTTTATTCTCTTTGATTCTATAACTGTTGCCTTGTGGCTTATCATGTTGGCCACTGTCGATCGATGGTTTTCATCAAGTACTGATGTCAACCGACGACAAAGAAGCACATTGAAAACTGCACAAAGAGGGATGATTATTATTGTTGTTCTTTCAAGTATTATCGAGACACAACAGCTCTATGGCTTTGAAGTCAATCTCACGTATACTCCAATCAAATGTTATACGAAAACAGTTGCATGTAGTCTTGTATCAAACCTAACTTTTGCTCTGATTACTATCATATTCCTGTTACAACTTATGATGATATTTGGTTTGATGACTATCTCGAATGTACGTCATATACAATCTCGTTTACAGCCAGCCAGTATGGCAGAAGGTAGTCGTGCTGTCGATGGCCCATCAACACTCACAGCTGGAACTCAGAACCAACAGAAGAAAACTGATCGTCAACTACTGATCATGCTTTCGTACAAGTTCTTATCATGCTTCTATTCACCACTCCAGTAGGTATATCTCAACTCTATTCAACCATAACTAGGAATACACCAAAATCAGCACTGAGAAATACCACTGAAACTTGTATCTTCGGTTTATTTTTTCTTTTCTTAAATGTTGCCTGTGGAATGCCATTCTATATTTATACGTTAAGTGGAGGAAAAATATTCCGAAAAGTTCTGTTCGCTTTGATGGGAACATTAGGCCGAAAGATGATATGTCGACGTGCTTGATTTTTCTGATTGAAATAAAAGCTTACTTTAATCCAACATATAGATGTGATATACTTTGGCAATAATCCCGTTGTTTATTTTTTCCGCCATAACCGGATGTTTTTACATTTACTAACACAGTCTTGGTTGAGATATTGTCATGGCTTTCAACTAGCATATTACGGCATAACAGTTGCTATTACACTTGAGTTTCTGTTCATGATTTTGTTCGCTATGATGACAATGTTTAAGTTATGGCAAGTACTAATCGTCATCTACTTGTCATGCTTCTCTTATAGTCTATTCATTCTTTTCACAGGCCTTATTCAACCAAAACAAGAAATTAAATTAAATCTTTATTGAAACTAATAATTTAAATATAGAAAATATTTCCAAAAAATATATTTCATACAAGGACGACTGATCAGAAATAGAAAGCCGCCGATAGCCACTGACGTGATAGCAAACTATAAAAGCTATTCACAAGCGTAACTGTCAGAAAAATAGATGTGTGCCGATGGAACCGGTAACAGTTACTATTATGCATATGACCAATATCGAATAATGCACACAGAATATCTTTTGATGACAGGCGACCGATGAGGTTAACACAAATGCAAAATCATGTCGGACTCTCCTTATCAACAGTGTCATTTCATTAGAAGATGAGAAATAAATGAGTTCCATGCAGATCTGCATGCTACTCTTAGATAAAGCAAGCTCAATTCAAAAACAGACCAATCTATTTCTTTACGAAGCAGACAAGTTAATCTGCTTGTTAGCTCTCGTTTGGGGATTATGTAGCAATGGTAGAACTAATATTTAGTCTGCCAAAAATAGAGAGCTAAACATGTTTTAATAATCGACTTTGTCGTCGTGTCATATATATAATATATTGAGTATCGAGTGATTGATACGAAAAAACATCAACAACAGCGCAATAACGAAAGAAAATCAATCACGAGGATTAGTCATAGTCGAAATATTACGTAACAAATCAAAATAGAGATCATAGCAACAGATAACACGAATAAACGTTTAGCGTCAGTGAGTGTCATCTACTGACGCTAACACTGCTAATGTCCACTCTTGCTTTTCAGCAAACAATTTAATCAAAAAATCAATTAAAAGAAGAATAAAATAATTTTTAAAAAAGTTAAAGAAAGGATATGGATATTCTAATATAGGGATGCGGGTTTGAGTCAAGTGTAGGTGGTATCTGGCATTTACTTTTCGGTGCGCTTTTGAATATACCAATAGTATTTCTAAGTCAGACTATCACCAATCCTCCTTAATGGAATATCTACGGGCACCCACAGGGTATTTCTATTTCCTGACGTATTCTTGAAAAAAAGTAACACTGTTCGATCGAAACGAGATCTGCATCTAAAACAGTCATTGAGAGACTCAACTTCGATCATGGTGCGGAGTCAGACAGGAAATGTTCAATCCTTCACTATTTTGATAAAGACCGTAAATGTTAAGGATAACTGACTGAAGCAAAGCCAACAGCTCTAAACTTTTGCGTTTTTTCTCTCGAATTAACACACATCTAGCTGAATGAGCAGATGAGTGAGGAAAAGTATGTGTTTTGTGACTCCACTGGTTCTGAGTGATATTTACCACAAACTGGTCGAATAAATGAAAGAAGAAAAATTAAGGAATAGCGAAACTACATCCTATTATATAATGATTTTGACGAAGTTTACAGTCACAATCAAGGTAGTTTAATGAAGAAAGCAAAAATCAAATGGCTAAAACCTACAATTTTTTTATTGAGAGAACTTTATCCACTACGCTTTATAATTAGACAAATGGAAGAAGGCATCTGTTTTGCAAGTCTATGGCACATCAGACATTTGGAAGCTAGTATTGTAAGCATAGTATTTATTACCTAGTCGAAACAGATTCATAAGATACTTGATAACTTCCTGAAGCAAAAACGAAACATCACATAATGCTTTGAATCTATCATATTCTAACACACCCACACTCAATTAGATCAATTATGAATTTTGAGATAGCTTCATGCGTTTTGAACCCACTATGAATTCTTTCCTTTTCTTGCGGTAGTTGCCAAGCCATACGTAAATACGATTTCCATCTATCACATGAGTGAAATCAGTAATATTATCTCTGAGCCATTCAATGTACGCCGTAGAGGATTTCGTATGAACAGACAATACAAATGTAAAACTGGTCAAGTATACAAGTCGTTCAAAAATCATTTCCATGTCATCGACACTCATGATTTCGATTGTCAAATGTATTATATGCGGAGGTAAAACAGCATAGATTCGGTAAATATCGACCATAGGACAATTGCGAGACCGCCGATAGAATATTGAAAGTGAGCGAACATTGTATACTCGTTCGAGTAAAGCAACAACATTTGTTATTGTGTTTCGAATAGAACGCGCATAGCAAAGAATAGGAAGAGAAAGTTTGACGATAAATGATGGGTCCACTGATTTTGGAAAGAGGTCGAATGGGTCTGGCAAGTTGAGTCCATCAATTTGAACCGTAAGATCAGTCACATTTTCAAACCAATCATAATTTGACGATATTGGCTAGAAAAATGTACAAACATCTGATAGTTAATACAATTATTGTGAGCATCGATTGCATGAGGAAGAAATCAACAAGGTTGAGTATTCATTTAGCGCGTCACTCTCATTTGATAAACACTGTGAAGTCTTTGCATGGAGATGTTACTGTAACGAAAAATGTTTACTCGGCTCTTCTTAGAGTTTTACACAGAATAAATATGGCTTTCAAAACGTTCAATTAAATATACTCAACTTAGGTTTCTATGTATATAAGCTGTTTTGTCTACTACAGCTATAGAAAAACTACAATGAAAAGAATGTTCAAAACAAAGTGAACAAATCAACCAGCTGTCATAAGAGGTAACATAGAGTAAATTATAATTTTGGTATTTTTGGTACATCTCATGTACTTTATTGAACCAATACTGTTTCCTCGATTTTCTTTGACTGAATTTTATATTTCTTCTTAACGTGTTTACGAGTGTTACATACAAAGCATCTGTAAATCGATCGAATCAATTATACTATTTTAAATAGAATCAATAACAGAAATGTTAGTACTCAAAATTGTGTCTGTCAGTGAACAAAAAGAGGGTACAATGAGTTTTTTAAACGTCGAGGTGTCTAAAAAAAACTAAGTAGACTTGAAATTTTCAGCTCAGATCGACATCATTTGCTTGAAACTGTTCGAAGGAGCAACGAGTAAAGAATGCATATGTGATGAAAAAAGAATTCGTTTTACGTTGTCCCTTCTGTTGTTCCTTCCATCACACTATTGTACCACCTGAATACAATCAGCACAGATCATTTTCAGATTATCTTTAACATTATTACTTTGGACGCTTCAAATCATTGTATTGTCCTATCTTTTTTACTCATCTTCACAAGAGAGGAACGAAAGTTCTTGAACATGACATTAGCACAAAATAGAAGATGGCAACACAGTTGAGAAGATAAACACTATCACTTCCATTGAACAAAATGGAAGAGAAGCATGACTATCAGTATTTTTACACATCGCCACATCTTCTTAATAACTATCTTAATTCGATTGGGCTCCGTTTTTCTCAAACTCCGAAGCAGCAGAGTGACTTTAGTAAAGAAAAAAAAGCGCATTTTATACTTGCTGCTCTGTAGTAACCGGCACTGACATTGCCGACACTATATCCAGATCCATCTTGAAATTCGTAATTGTGAAAGGAATGGATATAGATTTTTTGCGATAACGACTTTTGAATGAGTATGATATAAGACACATTGGTGTCGAGTATACAAGAATTCTATGCATTGTAGGGTCAAAGGTACAAACAACATTCCATCGTTTCGTTTCAATCCAGAACGGTGTTCGATATCTGGCCATGCGTGACTGAAGATCAAGAGAATTATAATTGGTAATGTTGGGAAGAGTGAAAAAAAATTCGAATCTATTCAAACGTGGTAAATATGCCCCAATGATACTTTCCCATTCAGAACCATCGAATAGACATTCAGAAGATATCAGAACGATCACTTTGAGATATTTGAGTGATGGTGTAATTGAAAGTATCGATTTAAGTTCACCCAAGGGCTGAAAAATGCCAGCATCATTAAATGACAACGAAGTTAATTGTGGGTACAACTTCGATATAGTTTCATGGATACTGTCGGAAATTCCAGTACGAAGCACTAATGTTCGAAGATTAGGCGAGTGATCAAGGATGACGCAAAACTGTTCAAAAGTGCATTCAGTAATTTTGAGATAGTGTAATGTGAAATTGGTGGACCATCGAATTTGACTCATGGCGCTGCTTCGCATATCAAATTCAAGCCGTTGAAGAGTAGCCTGTGAGATTGTTGCTGAGACTTGAGCCGATGCTACTGCGCTTTCAGTTCCTCGAAATTTAATTGAAAGTGATGTCAGCAAACGAGAGCCGGTTAGATGTGATAATAGTCTCTGTAAATGCTCGTCATCGATATCAAGAAGGGTAAGCGAACGAAGTTTGGTATATCGATCGATGTTGACAAGTGATAAGAATAAACTGATTTGACCTGGAGTCATGTCACCATTTGAAAGGCTGAGGCCAGTCACATTTTCAGGCTTAATAGTACGACAGATTGTGTGACAATCAGTCTTTGATACGGACGTGAAATCAAGCTCATATCTACTGTAAGTGTTTGTGACTGCTGCAAACTTTTTGCATACGTAGCGAAACGATAAAACAATCGAATGTCCATCAAGATGATCGAGAATTCGATAAAGAATCTCAACTGGAAGTGAATCAAGACATAGTAGTTTGCTTTTTCCGCTGCTTGCCATGTTCCTGTCAAATGACGTGCATGCTAGTCTTAATTTTTTTCTTTTCTTTCTTTTTTTGCATTTCATTCCATAATTTTTAACAAAAATATAAACGTGGGTGCCTTGACTCATGACTACATAAATAGCAAGAAGCTTTGGTTGGTCGAGACGACTGATCAATGGAGTAGTGAGTGTTGACACTCGAACGATGTCGATGGTGAGTGATGACAAGAGCAATCGCTCGACTCTAGAAATTTAGGAGATGTAAAGACTTTGATGCCTTAGATAAAGTTTAGTTAGTTTAAATAGTGACATATTTCTACATTTTCCCCTGTCTATTTTTGTTGTACACATTGAATCCAACTCAATTAATTAACTAATGTATGTATACGCAAATGTAGAAATTTTAATCAGAACTATTATTTGTTCTATCTTAATAGGAATATTTTTCGATCTCATAATAGCATCGTTTGTGTATGAGTAGGTTATATTGGTATTTAAAATAATTACATCGTGCTATGAACACATAGTTGTCGTTCCTTTATATTATCTAAAGCTACGCTTGATTTTGATGATAAATCTAGACTATGATGTTTATGCTCATCATGCTAATGCTGCGGATACAGTATCGAATATATGCAATCAATACATTTTCCCGTGTATTTGTCTACTTACTTGTTTTGTGTTGTGTTGTAACATCTGGTTTTCTATACTCATGATATTAGGTTGAAAATGATCTTTCAAACATCGAGAATTTCTATCTTGTATCAAAATCATTTAAATATTACAATGTTATTGATAATCAAAATCAAATAATTCTGGTGAAGAAAGAGGCGGATGCTCTTTGAGTTTTGTATAGTAATACTGTTACTATCAATATTGTATGCAAATTGAGATTACTCTGAGTTATAAGAATAAAATTCAGCGTGTTCAATATATTTTTGTGTGAAAGTCAAAGTTAAAAAAGATGTTTAGACATGTTTTTGGTATCCTATTCGATTATTACTTACTAATTTATTACTTTACATTACTCTTATTACTTTTCAACATTATTTCTTATTATTGGTAATAGTAATGTAGCACCACTAATCAGCATCGGAACTTTTATCTTGATTATACTCGTACGAAGGTGACATAAAATGTTTTTAGCGTTCAGTTTAGCAAAATACAAGTAGATGGAAGGCTCAAATACTGAGACTCGATAATAAAGCTCTGCTAGTCACAGAATTCATGTATCGAACCTATATGATTCATACATATAATCTTTGATGCAGGGTTCAGGATACAACAGTGATGATCATCAGTCTTATCGATAACCGTTTAACCGGTAACCGATTCTGGTTCCTATTGATATTGGTAGTAGAGATAGATTTTGATCTCAACTTTTTCAATCAAGGTAGGATATTCTGAGAAATAGCTGATTTTGAATAAAGTTTGATCAAAAGGAATCGGGCTCGAAGAATCGAACAACTGCACCAAATTTTCAGTAATTTTCTGTAAAATTTTCACCTAACCTAGCTGAAAAAATTGAGATCAAGATTTCAAAAATGGGATGCAGCCATAGGATTCTCCGACGCTCAATTACCTTCGGTTAAACTTTATGCCAAATCAACCAGTTCTCAAAATACCCTACCCATGATCAAAAACATAACAATAGTACAATTTTCCCTACCCAACTGCATAGTAACATAACAGTAAATGCGTACCTTCGAGATTTGCACATGCTTCCATGTGTTTCTCAAACGCACTTTTTCTTCAAGATCTTAGCACCAATGCTGATAGCAAAAATAACCGATGATCGATAGAAGTTACATCGATGGTTCATCGCCACCGGTACACCCATAATCATTTGTGATTTGGTAATCATGAAATAAGTACAAAGACAAATCCATCGGAAGAGAACTTTCAGAAAAGTCGATACCGGCCACGGCACTCTCGACGCACCCAACATCCATCTCCTCATTTCAAGCAGTGTTTCGAAAAGGCCACAAAAACAACAACAACATGTATAATATCATCAATATGCTCCCGTACACATAGACAAAACAAAAAATTAGGGTAGCAGTGATAACTTTCAAACAATATTCCTTGAGAACGACGGGGAACTACTACATAAAAATGTTGAGTTATGGAACAACACTTTGTTTTTTCTTGTTCCTAGCAGTATTTTGTTTATGGCTCAAGCGATTTCAATGTATAACACCCGTTTGATGATGTCGTAGCGTTTGATGGTGTTCAAGTACAGGAATAGAAAATGAACCGATTCTAAAATTCAGCAAAAGAAAATCACGTTGTCTCGAAGTATAACTCAAAAAGAAGTTACCTGTTCGGATCATGAATATGATCAGCATAATAAACGTGGACGTCTTTTCCTTGATATTCGTCTAATAATGAATGGCGATTAACACGTTTATGGTCAACATAAAAATGTGTGTGCTGCAAATGATAAATATTAATATAAATGAAATCTAACCAATGAAGCAACACAATACTTCTGCAATATCATGACCATATAGACCGCTTATAACTGTTTCGATTTGATCACTGAACATGAATTCTCGGTCAAGAATTTCACAACGGTACGCTCCTATAGAAAAAGAATGACGAATAAAAGTCACTAATGAATATAATTATCATGAAGAGAGAAGAATAGATTACCTTGAGTGCTTCCTTTAACCACGGATACATGATGAATAGATGTGTGTTTAAAGCCTTCGGGGATGTGACTCATTTTGGATTTTGTTGTATGAGAGAAAGTCAAAGTCAGTCAGTTTTCTTATTACTGTTTTATGCACTAGAAAAATAGAATTCTCTTCCATTTAATGTTGCCGACGGTTTTAGGAAATGATTCTATGGTCGATGTCTTGCGAAAATGTCAGTCTTCATAAATACTTCGGTTGTCTAACAATAGAATGGGATTTCTCGGGTCTGGAACATTCATTCTTTTCGTTTTCATATATTCGTGAAAAGGATGCTTTAAAATTAAATATCTTAACCATATACCGAAAATGGAAGTCATATGAGGAAAAATTAACCTCTTATAGAACGTTAATTTGATCATAAAGTGGAAATATAAACTCTCTATCTAAGTAGTGCACAACAAGAAAGAGTTTAATTCGAACAGACATGAAAACGTATGTGAAAATGTACGATGAGTATGTTGTTGAAAAAAACAGGAATTGAGAAAATCCTCAAAAGATTCAGCATTAGAAATGTCACTCCTATATTTTCCGAGTAAAGACAGTACAGAAGTACTTGTTGCAAAAGTCTTTCTAAGCTGATTAAAATAAAATACTTTGAAGTAAAAATTTGCACATTCTCTTAAATTTCGGCTGTACAGAACTATGCAATGAAAGGACTATTGAAAGCTGAAATGCATAGTTATTGTTCATCATCAATTCCAGAAACATGCTATAATGATATTTTAGACTTCTTGTCACCTTTCACTCCCAAAGTTCTATGTCATTCACTCATAGTCGCACACAAGGAAAATTTCGTAAGATCAGAAGTGAAATTCTACGATGTCGAAAAAGTTTTGATAGAAATGATCACTCAACAATGGCAGTGCATATAGGCGCCGTAGTTGTGTCTAACATCAGTAGATTATAGTTGTATGTTTACTGCTAAGTAATCATAAAATCCGACATCAATCACATTATTTTCACTAGACCACCATTTAAAACATTTTGTTGCTATGACACACCTCTGTGGCGAGTTTCGCTATGTTGATATTTTTTAGCTCGAAAGAACTATGTACGACGTTTTTCATTGAGTCAATTTATTCGAGTCCTGAATGAAATATTGAGATTTCTTAATTTAACACTAGGCTTATCTTGTTAGATGTCGTTGAAGGACTTGGTCGATGCTAAATAGTGCGTCAGACAACATTCTGTTCTGTTAACATAGCACCATGAAGCAATAGTGCTGTTCTATTGGTGCTTTCTACTAACATACGCACAAGCTCACACAATGTATTTTGTGTGCATGACTTCTTAACAGAACAGTACTAGAGTGTGAGTGTGAGCGTAGTTTCATCTTACCTTATATAAGACCGTTCCTCGCCGATAGCCTCTAAAGTTATCAATTCTTATGTGAACGAGTTGCTGTCAGTGTCGAAAAATAAACTTTTGAAAACTGATAAAATTCATGTCACACCCTCAAGATATATGCTTTTGCCTATTCTCTCTACAAAGTCAATTTGATGATTAGTTCATAATACTATACTATCTGATAGTTCTGAGTATCCTCTAGGAAACACCAAGATATAGCCATAAAATAATATTGTTTTCATTCACCAATGTTTCTTTTTCGAGATGATTGCATTTTGTACATGCAATTGATATAAGAAGTAAAATTTCCTCACACTATCTCAATTATTTAAACATAGTAGCTATTCTGTCTCATATTCAAGTATTCAAGTATCCAATTAAAAGCAAACACTGTTCTTTTAACAAGTTTTGAACTCACACTCACCTAGCATCTCTGTAAACGGATAGTTAAAAACTTGAATTCAAGTTTCAAATCGTGCATAAGGATGAACGGAGATCTAATTAATATCCTTATGCATGTTCATCGATTTACATGCAGCATCGTCATTCGTTTGATTTGAAGTAGCACGCTACCAATTCACAAAGAAGACGACTTGTTCTTTATAGCAAAATACGTGGTCGAAGAAATTTTCTAATGAGTCTATCTTGAAGCAGTTGAAGTCTTACATAAAAAATGACTCAGCACCTAAAGCTTATTAGATTGAATATCAAATTTAATGTTTAAAAAATGTTAATCCTTCTTTAGAAGTGAATCAGCGTACTGTAGTACTGCGATCAGTCGACCCGAATTTGATTGATTGACAAGTTCGATTACTGCTTGATAGTCGTGCTCACCAGTGGTGTAGTTGTTCACAACCTCATTGCCATGAGGTTGTGTAGGCCAATAGGTATCATCAAGTTGAAGTCCTTTATAGCCCAGTGATTGTAGCCAAATACTCACTTGTTCATATGAACACTCTGGTTTCAACCAAAATACTTCATTGCGAGCTTCTTTGCTTAGAATAAGTTCCTTGAATACGTCTGGAAAGGTGAGATATCGTGTTGGTTGCATGGATGATTCAGCTTTATCGTCGTCAGTGATGGGAAAAATCCAACTACGTTTGCTACCAAAAAAGAATAATGCGGTGACTAGAACATCGTTTGGAATCGATTCATATTCGTGCACAAGATGCGAAGCCGAAATGAAGACAATACGATGAGCGTCACATGAAGCCATTGCAAGATTCTAGTATGATTGAATCTAAAAGAAATAATCATATAAATTGGATAGGCAGCGTTGTCTTCTATTCTGATGTCATAATTATGAGTCACATGAATTTGCCTTATAACGATTGAATACCAGTTCAGTGCTTTATTTATCGCTCTACTATTAATACTTTTTTTTCTGAAGCCGATTAGATAGCACAATTTGAATAACATTTGAAAACTTCATGTCTTTACTATTATAAATATCTTTCTATTAATGATCATTAATCGAAATAAATCATCGAGATAACGCAGAGAGTATTCGGACAGCTTTTCTCACTGACTGCTCCTGCTTTGTCAATAAGATAAAACACGAAAGAACTATTGAGCGCTATTTCAATAGTCAAAAAACAGAAGGCCGATATCAGTTATCTCTTCATGAGAAAATTCCACTCTGTAGTCGTTGAACTTCATCCATAGAAGTTTCATGGATATGGAAATGAAAGGCGAAACTACATTCAAAGATGTGAAAGAGTGAAAGACTGTACATTGAGTAACGTTGGTGTTTTTTCTCATTCTCTTTTCTTTTGCTCTTTACAGAAGACATTGAGAAATGCACGTTTTATTCTCATATTTACTGTACAAGTATATGATTTCTTTAACTAGCATACGGCTGCATGAATGTGTTGAAAAGAACAACAGAATAATCAAAACATCTCTGAGTCATTATTACTGCCACTGTAAATTTTCAAGAGTTTCTTTCTCCATTCATTTGCAATCGTATGAGAAATTCTGGCATAAATAAACTCCACAATAAAATGAATTGAAGATGTGAGTGCTAATGCCATTCTTCTTTCCACGCAAGCCCACGCCCTTCATTCAAAGTTTTATACATAAAGGGGACATAGTTTAACTTTTTTCTACTAATGTTCATCACAGAATATTTAAATGTACAAACAAATAATCATAGATGAGAAACAAATATATCACGATAATATACTAAATAATATGACAATACGATAAGCTGCGTTAAAAATCCACGTTAACTCTAATTCAAGCAGTGATGCGAATCATGTATTATTGCTAAAAGTCGTATTTGTTACAAAACGATGTAATATTTTCTTTTAAAATAATTGCTTACATTCACGTCTGAAATATGGTGATGATAAAGTATACACAAAAAATATCAAAGAAAATTCTAGATGGATAAGCATATAACTCATATTATTTATAAATGATTCCACTGTTGTTTGGAAAGATAATTTCGTTTGATTTATTGCTATTTTTTGATAAAGAAGAACGCAAGGATTTATAATATTCAAAAAGTCAAAGTAATATTTGATTAAATAACATTGTTGTAAAATGTAAATCTTTTCGTGAGATTCCAGTAAATTCTGCAGATCGAACTCTATTAACTGGAGCTAATGGTCTAGCTGCTCGTTTACTTTGTTGAATATTTTTTATAGTACGATATCCAACAATAAGCATCAACAATAGTGGTAATATTCCACTATCAATAAATAGACAGATGCTAAAAAAACCATAAACACCAAGTCTATATGAACAGATACCATCTTGAATGTCATAGAAGATAAGTACTTGTATATACATTATACACCAAAATATAAAACACACAATAATTAATCTCATACCGTTCTTTGATGAACTCCATCGGCGTCAATAAATATCAGAACGACTAGTCCAATAACGGTCGATAGGTGCCAAAAAATATACAATAACGTGGAATAGCAACAAAAAGATAGAAAAATAAGAGCGGATTTTACAATACCACAGTATATTATTAATTGCATTAATATTGAAACCTCTATAGAGTATTCTTGTGACAAGAACAAAATTGAAAGTTATGAATTGCGAAGCACTAGACGCTAGAAAATATATGACACATGGATTCTTGCGAAGATCTCGTTGAGAAAAAATAAAACAGTCGGTAGCTGATCCAAAATTTCCTATAAGCCAAATAAGACCCATGCAATACCTTGAAATATTCATATATTGAGAAGCGAAGCAAAACTACACCAATATATTTCATAATCATTAATACCACAATATCGCAATCAGTGTTGTTCGCCATATGTTAACGAAAAGCAAATATTAAGCGAGTTGATCTTAAGGAGATTTGTTTTAGCTATGATTCCTCTGATAATTTCCTTTTTTTAAATATTGTCCTTTTATAGTAAGAGAGTTGATTTCATATGATTGACGTCAACTTACTTCATGCAAGATAAAGAATGAGATGAAGTATTCAAGAATGAATCTCTCGCAGTTGACTTTGAGCAATTGCTCTAAGTTTAATAAAAGCATGGCTTTTAGCAATACTTTTATTCAGTGAATTTTTTCGACAATAAACGAGTTATTTTTTGTTAGAAAAACATAGCAGTTTGTTCACAAGTAACGTACTGATCCATTTTCGGCCTTCTATAACTCCTATTACTCAAGAGTCATGCGAAGTTAAGAGATCAAGCATATAGCATCGAGAGATAATTAGAAGATCTAGATATGCTAAAATCTTATTTTCATTTTGTTAATACTATTGCGATTCCAGATTGAACCGATAGAGTCCAGAAACGGAAATTTACATGTATATGTCCGTAGCACAGTAGTAGAAATGACGATTTCCATGGTCAGACTAGGTTTTCCATATGACACAAGTGATAATTTTATATTATTAAAGCGACTATGTTTGTCTAAGTTCTCGTTGTTACATGTCAAAGATATCTCTTACATTTTCTGGTACCTTTCTAAAAGCATGTTTTTAACTACATTTGCTAATAAGCATGGCTCGATACACGTTACTCGTTAATAATCCGATTAGTAGATCCCATGTTTTTCAATCAACTTAAGAATTTCTTTAAGAGTACCATTCAAGGATTAAATTGTTTCGAGAGTCGTTTCCATGCGTCTTCGAAAAGCTCATTTCTTTAAATAGTTTAAAATGCTTTGAGGGTGACGAAAATGCATTGATAAATAAATACAACACCAAATGCTTCATTATGAAGCAATACTTTGTTGCTTAGGCTTATCATGAGCATGAAAACTACTCATTTCAAAAATTATTGACAGAAAATTTTCTAAATAACAATTATTATGAGGATTCCTATGCTTCCCTCTTCTGATAATTCTTGATATTAGATTACATGGAGTTGTAATACCTGCTTAAAAATAAGTCATGTGTAACTTTCTGATACGATGATTTTAATAGAATAGGATATACGTTAATTAGAAAATTTTTAAAATCATAGCTGTTTTTACAGAAAACGTTTCTACTGAAATTAATAGCATCTCGAATTAAATACATCAATATCTCGTGTTTTCAATGCTTATCGATGTAACAAAAGGCAGAAAAAAAGAAATCTACTACTCCAAAGCTATTAACGCTCATGTTAAATGCCGATGGTAAATAAAACGCTAAAGCGCGTTAGTAGATATTTTTCTATCTACAAATAATTTAAAGTTATATCTTTACAGAAACTAAAGCAGAACATGAATACCAAATATCTTTACAGTGTTGTAACAAAATATTGAAAAGCGTTAAAATTCATATTTGACCATATCTATTAAATTAAAATAGTCATGAAACAAGTAAGAGCTATGCGAAAGATTGTGTATAGCTACATATAAGTTGAAATAGGTATAACAAAAATATATAACTTAAATGAAATTCAAACAGATAGGCATAAGATTAAACTGCAATGATGATCAAAATCTCACAAGAAGAAAAATTGGACAGGTTGAGACGAACGAGACATGAAAATTTTCTGTTCCGTCCATGAGGGGTGGCACGTTTACATTAATTGAAAATTAACGTTAACTAAAGCAGTTAATTAACTCGCATTAAATTAAATTGCCCACCCTTACCATCCATCTCCGCATTGATGATAAGTATTTCAAAGGTAGACCTTTTATTCATTTTATATCTGAAACCATATTATTCATTCAATCTTCATTTTGTTTTGAGATATAAGTAAAGTTCAAAACACATCTCAGAAGAATCTCGATGAAATAAAAAGAAAAAGGAGAAAGACGATGGGATGTACGCGCTGCATGACAAAGAAAAACTATGAGAGAAAAGCCTTTGCCACAAAAGATAAGAGAGAAAAGAAATTCACATTTCATACATATTATTCGTCTTTTATCTATATTCTAACTTATATATGTCCACACAACCATATCTGTGTGTTATTTGCTTGTTTTTAATTGCTGTGTAAAATGATTGCATTCTCTTTTTTTCTTGTCATGCTTTCGTATACTCACTGCTAACACAATATTATCTATATAACAACATGTTATCTTCTTCACAATTATTGTTAACTCGTTCTATACAATAGGCAAATTCGTCAATATTTCAATAAACAAATCTGTTATAGTTGTTCTGAATTCATCACAATGGGTGGCGATGTGATCGGAAATATTAATTATTTTTGTTCCACTAAAGATGGTTGTCCTCCCTGTGTAATACCATACTCGATCCCAACGATGCAAAGATCAAATATTGAGTATGCATGTGTTCCCATGACCATCCACGACTTACGAGGTAAAGAGAAGAGTGTTGATCTCGACAAAAATGCCTTTGAAATACTTGAGTATAATGGTTCCATACAAGAAGAATTTGAAGAAGGTAGCGAAGCACAGCAAACTTATTATAAAGAGATAAGCAATATTCTCAAGCAACGACTGAACGCTTCTAAAGTCATTATCTATAATTTTGCTTTTCGGAGTCGAGGTGTGCTACAACCCAATGAACAGTACGATGACACTCACAGAGAACCTGCCTTATATCCTCATGTTGATATCGATCCATCTGCAGTTCAGGATTTAGTAGAAAAAATACTTGGCAAAGACGAAAGTGAAAGAGCGATGAAAAATCGAATTCAAATCATCAATGTTTGGCGCCCATTGCGTACCAATCCAATCACAAAAAACTCGTTAACACTTTGTGATTATCGCTCAGTTAATGCCGATAAAGATGTTCACTCATACACAGTTCGTGGAGCAAAGCTTCACACTGCAGGCTATCTTATGTCACGCGATGCTCAAGATGTTCACAGATGGTACTATTTAAGTCAAATGCAACCTGATGAAATGTTTGTTTTTAAAATGACCGACACCAAGCCTGATGTGGCTCGGTTTGCCTGCCATACCGCTTTTATCAACGAGAACGAGTCCACGCCGAGCGTGAAACAGACAAGTCTTGAAATTCGCTGTTTGATTCTCTACGGGGAATCATAATAATAATAGAATATTCCATCTTTGAATATGTTATGATCCATGCGTGTACACGCAGATCATTAGCATCATCTATCATAATAGCGCTATCTGTTCTTGTTATTGTTTTAGTTCTATTTTTTATTATTGTTAAAGTGTATGTTTGAACCTGTTAAATAAATAAGTTAAAGAAAACTTGAACGTATACCTTAACAGAATTAAACTTAATATACTTTCGATGAAGTTTTTCCTTTCAATTTCTTGGCCAGCGTACACATCAAGGGCTGTCCATGATGCATAGTTTTCTTTCTATAGACAAGCACTTTAGAGCTTACATGAGTTATGCATACATTTAGAGTAACGCGTGCGTTGAACTCATGGAAAATTTTCCTAATTATTCATGATATTCCATAGTATCAGTCTGTACCTTTAAAAAAAAACAGAAGGTTTTCACCAAAAAATAGTGCTTGATCGAGTAACATGAATTTTTCAAGAAAACGAAAATTTATTGAAAAAAAACGCATTTGTTTGAAAATTTAATGAAACAGTAATACTTATTTTATCCAGCATGTTTTAATTATGGAAGCTTTTCAGTATACTAATAAGATAGAGCTATTGAAACTCTACACAATCGGCAGTTTAATTTGCCTCTATAGCTCGATATGAGAAGACATAAATACAAGAAGTTATAGTTCGCGCTCGAAAGTTGTTGATATTACTTGTTTTGACTATTACTGTACTCATTTTTTTTGTTTCTATCTCCATGCGATTGATTTTTTTATGGTTTTGTAGAGTATTCAAGGTTGAATCTTTTGGTAAAAACGTTGACCCGAAACTGTAAAAGCTGAAAAGAATATTGAAGAAATACTGAGACCGCCATTTATTCTGACGCAGCCGTTACCTGTGATGTTTTGTTATCATAGGAATTTTGTGATCTTTTGAAATTTATTAAGAAATCAAAGTCATACTGTGCACATGTAGGTAACTTTTTCTAAATTCTGCATTAAGTTTCAATCATATTTATCTCAAACATGATTAAAAGATAGCTCATCGGATTATGTCGGCTCGGGCGGGCACGTCTAACTGAAGGGTCGCAACGGGTCGGGTCGGTCCATGAAAAGTTGGCTTGTTGCAACTCCTGATAAGGAATAGTGAACAAAAAAGTTCCGATTTAGAACTATCGTATAATAAATCTAATGATTTTTCTGAACCAGCGAATTCCGAAACTACGTAGAATGTAAATAAAAAATGATGATTGTATGAGGGGGAATTAAATATGACAGCAGTTTGCTGCTTCTCTGAAAAATTCACTGAAGAAACGCTTCAGACTGTTACAATCCATAGAGGAAATATCTACAGTTTCGATCGGAACCAGAACTAGCAAATAAACTAAGAAGTGATTTCAAATGAAGTATGAGAACGATTGTGCTGCATGTGCACATCATATGAATAGGAAACATGACAGAAAATATCACGAAAAGAATTTCGATTCATTTCGTGCGAGTTGGATTTGAATAAAAAAGAGAGTTTTTTCTAATGTTACGTAGCCTTGCCTAGATGCATTCACCGGTCTATAATTAACTGTGTCACTCGAACATTACGTTGAGTGAGCGCTTTACTCAAGTAGTGTATTCCGACTATAGATCTGATCAAATATTATTTATTTTTATCTTGAAATCCAACTACATTCATATTTTTGAAGCAGACACTAGCAAATAATATTGTCCCTTGAGATGGTCGTAACTAAACGGACTTTTAGTGGAGTTTTGAAGGGCTATAGTGCGTTTTCACATTAGTGTTGTGGATATGCTTTGCCTGTTGATTGTCTCTATAAATTGAATAGAGTCTCTTTTCTCGAGAAATGTTGATACTGCTGCCTTAGTATTATCTTTTGGATATTATTGTGTGTATACCACTTAGATTGGATAAATTTATAGCAAAAATGATTACAGGAATATGCATGTGATCGCGCATAACGGCATTGATGTAATTATCTGTATCCAGACTCACATCTACCCTTTCCCGAACGTTCAGTCGACGATCAAGTCAATCTCGAGGACGAACGCTACTTGTTTTAATTCAAGCACATACAATATTTAGTATCTAATGTTCGACTAGATCAATTGCTGAAAAGCAAAGATTGAAAGTAGCAGAATGATTTGTCTTTTCGTTACCGGATAGTTTGATCTATATTTGAATTTCTTTGCACTACATAGAGTTATAAAAAGAAAAAATAGGACACATTCGTTGTTAAATTCAGAAGAAGAAAAAATTAACCTCAACATAAATGAGCTAACTGCAGACTTTTCTATTAAATATAGAAAAACAGTTCGTTTATTTGTAAATTTTTGTAACAACACGTTGTACTAGACCAACTGATCCAGGTGAGGGTGCCCCTAAATCATCAAATACTGTAATTAAATTATTTTTCGATCGAAGCCAATCAGATGGAATGTGATAGTAACGTTGCGTTGGTTTTAAACAACTAATTTGAGCATGCTGACAACAACATGGCTGTTTATTTTCACAAATACCTTGAATTAACCAATAAAGACCAAGATCATTTCCATTAATAAACGCATGGCCACGATTAAGACCTAGAGCATCAAGCAAAACTGGATTAGCATTTGTATCTTCTTGTATAAGATGATCCAAATCAAATCGTGCTTGAAACCACGTGATTGGCTGATTAATGCCTTTTGCCCATTGAGTATCCCAATCAACTTTAGATGAACCTTGTTCCGTATATATTTGAAGATATTCGCCAATTAAACCTTTTTGATGGTTCCAAAAATTCGTTTCTGTTTCATTATCTACTAATAATTGTCCGTCAAGCCATACATTACCATCAATACCTTTCTGTTCAAAAGAATTTGCGTATACACCACTGAACATTCCAAACGAAATTGAAAGAATTTCAAATACATATTGTTGATTGGCATTAAAATTTGAAAGATCCAATACTATAAAAGCTTCTGCACTGCCTGCTTGATGATTATGATCGTCGAATTCGCCTAAATATTTTCCACCCAAAAAGAAAAGTAAACCATTAGCTATACGTGTTTGAACTCTCACTATTGTATTTGTTGATGGTTGTTTTAAAGTCACATTACGGCGATACCACATATAAATCGTTTCATCATTGGTAATATTCAGTTGTCCAATAGGATTCGCCGAAGTGATGATTGGCAAATTCGATTTCGCTGATGATTCTGACCATGTTTGCCAATTCTGTAGACCGGCAACGACAGGAACTAGTACAGTATTATTACTAGCAACATCACTATAAACAGCACTATCCCATAATAAAGTCATATTATCATCATATATTCGCGCACTATGATCATTCATTGAAATATTCTGATTGCGAAAAAGTACAAACAGTGGTGTAGTAGCCTGACTAATAACAAAATGAAGAGAGGGCGGATATGAATACACAAATTGTGAAGTACCATTTATCCATGCGTTTCCATTCCAATAAGGTATTGTAGTACGAATAGAATCTTGCTTCAATAAAGCTTCAGCACGATCAGCAATTATATGTTGAAGACGACTTAAATGAGTATATTTAGGTTCATTTGGCGTACCGTCAGCATGAAGACATACATCATCAGCGTACAATGTTGTTACGCCTGAAGCTGCAATTCGTCCATAATTATTTCCGCCATGCCACATGTAATAAGCATGATAAGCACCACCGGCGGCAAACCATTCGGCAACTGAATAAGCGACATCAGACGTTTTACGAATAGAAATAGGCTGTCCCCATTGTTGAAACCATCCTTCGTTTTCAGTAAACATCAATGGTCTATCTGGATACATTCGCCGGTGTTGATCAATCCAACCGTCATCCAAGCAATTGCATGAATTGCATGTTTCAATTGTTGAATTAGCGGATAAACCATTACACATAATCCACGGAATTTCTGTTGACGAAAGTTCATTGTTCACTAAACTACCACACCAATCAACATAAGCGTGATCATTACCGGAGTATTCGTTTTCGATTTGTGCAACAATAATGGGACCACCATTCTTAGCAAGATAGGGTGTTACATAATCAATGATATTCAAAATAAACTGACGCATTAAACGCTTCCATGCATCATTATTTGAACGAAATGATATATTAGGTATTTGATTGAGCCACACTGGTAATCCTCCATAAGTCCATTCACCAGATATATAAGGACCAATACGTAAATTAACAAATAGACCCGCATTAGCAGCTTCTCGAAGAAATGCACTTAGATTAGCACGACCACTGAAATCTAGTACGCCTTGTTTTGGTTCATGAAGATTCCAAAATACATATGTTTGAACTGTGTTAAGACCTTGATTTTTAGCCATTTTCATTAAATATGGCCACATAGAAGGTGTTGAACGAGGATAATGTATAGCACCCGATATAAGTAATGTTCGTACACCATTAATTGTAATTGCTCGATGATCATAACCGACTTTGTATGGTGTACCTCTCACATCATCATAAGTAATCGGGCTTGTTGCTCCGTAGGTTAAGATACCAATGCAGATATATGCCACCGACAACAGTCGCATGACTTTCTTTGAAGGTGCGTTTGAAAATTGACTGCAATATAAACGGATGATACAATTTTATGTTTACCTTCTTCGCCTTTCTTGTCTAGATGAAAAAAGAAGATAAACATTTTCAACATGCAGCAAGTAACTAACTGAAAACCTATCTGAAAGAGAGGTGGTCGGTCCGATAAGGTATAGAAGAGGAAAAAAATGTTTTTCGTATACACGAAAGAATGCCACGCATCGTTTTTAAAATTTCAACACAAAATTTATCGAATTCTTTGTTTCTATTACAACTCCGCTTAATTATAAAAAAGAAACGAAAAGATCTTTAAAAATATATTTTTCAATTTTCATTTTATGAAATATTTCATCAATAGGGTGTGTGTGTGTGTGTGTCATAGAACGAGAAGAAGATCCACTTTCACAAACACATCTTTAGATTCTCTAAACATCTTTCATGTGTCTATAATTTTCTGTTT